TGTGCCATTAAAATTGGTTGTAAGTCTAAATAAACTTTCAGTCATCATATGAAAGTCAATTTGTGTAACAAAATAGTGCTTTATTTTCAATTAGCTACCTTTTCTTGATAAATTTTTCAGTGGTCAAACTTAGGCACATTCCCGTTTTTCGTATAATTAATGAAATCTATAAAATACTTAAATATTTGGAATCAAATAATTTATCTATATTGCAACATTAGTGATCAATAAATAACTTTGTATGTACATTTCTATGTTAAAATTAAATAATACCAGTTCAGAGCATTTCGACGTGAAAATGTGTCATTAACTGGTTTGGGACTGGTACACTCACCCTATATTAATTTGCTTAAATTTTTATCAGAGCGATTCTTTAGGTTTTAAATCATAGATTGCTCTTATGGCCCTCTTCTGTAAAACAAATATAATTTCAGTGTCAGTCGCGTGTCCCTATAACAAAATACCATACGACATTATGCTATGGAAATAGCTAAAGTAAACAAGTCTACCTGTTTCCACGCTGTTAAGATTTCTAATTTTTTTTACAGCATATGCTGCAGAACTAAGTCTGCTTGCTAACTTTGATATATAAGGGCTCCATTTAACCTTCACGTCTAGTGTGATTCCAAGAAAAATGGTGGTATCGACAAGACTCAGTTCCTCCCCATTTAAAATTACATTAGTATTTAATTGTTTGACATTTGGAGTCATTGATTTCATGCATTTAGTTTTAGTGCCATTTAAATGCAAGTTATTAATATTAAACCAATTTACTAATTTAGATATGACATTATTTATTATATATTTCATATTTTAATAATTGCCGTTTTAATTTGAAAATTAATGAAGTGTCATCAGCAAACAATACCATATTATGGTTATCCCCTACTATGTACGGTAAGTCATTAATATATACAAGAAACAGAAATAGGCCGAGAATTGAGCCTTGAGGCACGCCCATTTGTACTATCGACCCGGAACAGCTAATATTTTTAATGACAACTTTTTGCGTTCTGTTACTTAAATATGAAACAATTAATTTAAGAGCATTACTTCTTACACCGTAGTGCTGTAGTTTTCCTGACTAATGTTTTATGGTGAACACAATCACAGGCTTTGGATAGGTCACAAAATATACCCAAAGCAATGTCCTCCAGTGAATACACCCATGCATTGAAAATATATTTAATCAGCTCAATACCAGCTTCAGTTGTCGAGCGACCCTTTGTGAAACCGAATTGATTTTTATGAAGTAAACTATTTATATTTAAAAAAAAATTACATTTGATCAAGAATAACTTTTTCAAAAATCTTACTAAGTGTTGGCAGTACAGAAATTGGTCTAACATTGGCGGGGTCTAATGTACTACCAGATTTGAATGGTATTACTTTACTATGCTTCATTAATACAGGAAACATACCATATTCGATACTAAAAAATAATAGCTAGTTGAGGCGCGATTATATCTATTATAGACGCAATAACTTAACGGAAATTCCTTGATGATGACCTTTCATGGTAAAGTTCATATAACCTTTGTCTGCTCTTATGCACTCCTCCTACTGTCGCCCATTTATTTAATGCCTTCAGACTGTTTAAGGAGGTGTAAAAAAAATTACTATCATATGTGAAGTCATACAATTAAGGATTTGTAAGGTATATTTTAAGTTATTATAACTGCTAGAGATTACCTCTATTGTCTCATTTTCTAATTTAAATTACATGGAACTGAATCCAAATTACATATTAAGTCATTAGACTGCTCAATAGAAGTAGTTGTCTGTGTAGCCAAGTCCTTGGCTGAGTTAATATATAAACAATAAGATAGCACATTTGCTATCTGTCTTAAATTATATTTGGATGAGTAATACCTATCTCTAGTCAAAAATTTCTTTATTAAATTATTTATGTCTATTAAATTAATTCAATTATTATAATTATAACAATTAAATGTCAAGTTTAAATTGTTGTTACATGAAAAGCTATTCATTAATAAATTTAAATTGTATCTTATTTTATTTTCCTGTGGCCAACCCTGTATGTAAGGCAATATAAACAAGATAATTTTATGTACATTTAAAGTATTTAGATAATCAATATATTTTAATAATTGAGTTTTGTTTACATTGCCTCTTCTCCCAACAAGAATTATTATTAATATGCTATAAGGGCAAAACTTACTAGTTAAAACTTTATTCATTATATAACTAAAAGATGCTCCAGGCATACAATAATTAATAACCAGATGTCCTTTTAAACAGTTATTTCACATCATGCCCAAATTTTTACCTATGTCATCAAAATACATAATAACTTTATTTTTCTTTTTATATTTACATTACTATTTAAGTTTATATCCTTTGTCATGGCGCTGTCATAGAGTGTAGGTGATAATAATGAGTCCTTACTGTTTACTTTGTTATTTACACATATTGTCCCCGACGAGCCTGGTGTGGAGTGCTGATACTCACTCTAATGTTTTATTAAGGAGTCAAAGCACTCCTCATTATATTTACATGACTTTACCAGATCATTCATGGCCAATATGTGTTCTTTTATCTCACCCTGAGCCGATGCATATTTATTTGATACAATTGGTAGGGACTTTTTAAGTGATATGTTAATAATTTGCATTTAAATGGCACTAAAACGAAATGTATGAAATTCATGACTCCAAATGTCAAACAATTAAATACTAATGTAATTTTAAATGGGGAGAAACTGAGTCTTGTAGATACCACCATTTTTCTTGGAATCACACTAGACGCGAAGCTTCAATGGAGCCTCCATATATCAAAACTAGCAAGCAGACTTTTTTCTGCAGCATATGCTGTAAAAAAGATTAGAACTCTAACCAGTGTTGAAACAGCTAGACTAGTTTACTTTAGCTATTTCCATAGCATAATGTCGTATGGTATTTTGCTATGGGCTATGGGGACAAGCAGCTGACACTGAAATTATATTTGTTTTACAGAAGAGGGCCATAAGAGCAATTTATGATTTAAAGCCTAAAGAGTCGCTGCGACAAAAATTTAAGGAAATTAATATATTAACTTTGTCCTCTCAATACATTTATGAAAATGTAATGTACGTACACAAAAATAAAAATAGTTTTACAAAAATAAGTGATATTCATTCTGTAAATACTAGGAACAGACACAAGCTAGTAGTACCAGTTACTTGACTCCATCGAGTCAGTAATTCATTCTTGGAGCGATGTATACGCTTTTACAACAAAATTCCAGAAAATGTACAAAGTTTGACCTGCTCAAAGTTCAAAAACTTTATTAAACAAAGCTTGTATAAAAAGGGTTATTATAATATCAAGAAATCTATGGATGATAATAACCCTTGGGAATGAGGTGATCGCTACCAAACTATTTGTTTTGTGTGTTTAATTGTGTAACATACATGATTGTAAGCTGTTATTTAAAAAAAAAGTGCCGCTGAGTTTCTTGCTGGTTCTTCCCAGGGCAGAGGTTTTTTCGAACCAGTGGTAACCAAACAAAAGAGTGACTTTCAATAAGTATTATTTATAATCTATATTGAATAAAAAAAAGATACAATTTTAAAATTTAGACACTGTATCAGTCTCGTAACAGTTATTCATATTTTCCACCTCAATTGAATATAATTTAAGTTTAATAATTAATTCTTGCTTTTATTTACATACATTTATATAATTTTTAACCTTACTTTTAGTTTTAAATAACTTTTGCACTTTCCTAATATATTTATTAATTTTTATCTATTTCTTTAATTTTCTTCTACTGCAGGTAATCCTTGCTGCTGTTCTTGATGTGGCATAATCACCACCAGTCAAATCGATTGTTGTGGAGGGTTACAATGCTTTAGAAGATTCATATTCTATGAGCTCATTGAACAGACTGAGTTTGGGACGCTTTCAAGTTATCTATGTATTGTTTTAATTGCACAATCTGCTCATTAGCCTCACTTAACTATAATTGCAATGCAGCAATTAATCTGAGGGATTCCTTGCTGCATTGGTGAAACTCATCGACTGTTCTCTGAAGTTGATACCTTTCTTTTAAAAGAGAAGTATATTCTTTATGCAACTTAATCATATCACTTTTTAGCTCAGTATTTTTAGCAATTATATTTATATTTCCTTTTCATTGTCATCCCTTTCTTTACACAACAGCTCACACTGCTCCTTTGAAGCCTTAAGTTCTTGAAGCGCCATTTGAAATTGGTTCTGCACTTCTCCAATTGACGCGCTTTTGGTGTTGCGTGTATTCATTTTACCTTTACCATTTAACACTTACTTAAAAGGTAATTCCACATATAACTTTGAATAATCAGAAAGGTAAATCTTAAAATATTAAAGGAGGGATAACAAGAATTACACTTACAGTAAGTTTAAACGATGCCGGATGCTCGTTACAGCCACAGAGTACATTGTATTGGTTACAGCTGTCACGCTGTCACTTTTGGTCAAAGAGTATAGTAACTTTTGGTTGGAGACATGGTTGGATTCCAACAGCTTACATTTTTACTAACAGCTTTATTTAATTGGTGAAAACAGTTCATATTATAACATTTGATATTATATAAATTTTGCTAATTTTTTTTACGGCATTTCATATATTGGCTAAAAAACTTATAGCCATTTCAACAAGAAGTGAAGAAGAAAAAACAGCTACGTTTCGATATTGCATCTAAGTAAAACTAATGCTAATAACGTTTTAATAAATGGAGGTATTTGCTTTTATATTCAGTTTTTTTTTTAAATTTGGCTACAAATTATAAGTAAAATTTTTATGTACTTATATAATTATTTTCAATTGTGAAAATGTTGATGATGAATAGTTTTATTGAAATAAGTATAGTATTTTTTACTTTCAGGTGACATATTTCTTCGAAAAGCAAATTTTAAACGTTTTCATAACCTCTAAATGTCATGCTTCATCCTTTGATGGCAATACTTCATTTAAATTTTTACTAGAATTTTAATAATTTTAAGTTTTATTCCCTAATAATGGGAGACACAGAAGAGTACTTTCCACGAGGAGGAAAGAAACCATCAGTTACATATTTTAAACAAAGCAGTAACGTAAGTTTTTCTTTCTTATAAATAGAAATATTTAACCTAAGTGTTGATAATGATGTAAACAAGTGAGTCTACTTCAATTTATAGTTTTTGGGCGCAGCGGAGAAAGGAGAGAGAAAGAAGCAAAAACCGAAGAAGAAAACAGAAGATGATGATGGCTATTTATCGGATGAAGTCTTGGCCGATGATGACCAGTCTTTTAAAAATTGTGGCATTTCTTTAAATTATAAGGTAAACCGAATGTTATTTTTGTTTCAAAATACAAAATAACTTCACATTAAGGTTTCTGTTGTAGTTTTAATAACAGTTTTAAATTTAATCATGGTAATATTTGTTATTAATTGCAACCAGTTTCTAATCGTAAAATATTATGGGTAAGACTCCATTGACTTCCGTCGAGTTGGGTTTTGATACATTTTTTACAGAAAGGTTACATTTTTATAAACACACACGCAAAATTTTAACATGCGGAAACGCGTACTTTTTGAGAAATAAATTATACAAAATATTGTAAAAATACATTTATTTTTACAATATTTTGTTGTTTTTTTCTTAAACTGGCTTTACGGCTCTGGGTTCTAGCCCTTCTGAGCCTATTTTATTACGAATTTCCATTGACATTCGTCGAATAGAGGGGGGGGGGGGGGAGGAGGTGTAGGTGAACTAATTCAGAGAGATTTCTGTTACTAGTTTGAGACTGCTACATCTCCGGCACTATATAACCACTCTAGGGGTAGGACAGACTCGTACCAGGTGGAGTCGGGGTCAATCAATTTGGTTCTTTAACATAAGTAGAACCTAACCTATTTTATTTATTATCTGCCCTAACAGGTACTGTTAAAATAAAACAGATCAAATATAATTAATAATTTATTAATCAATTTTATAAACATATTGTATAGCCTTAATTAATTCTTCGAAGACATCTTTATGTGCTTTTTTCATTTTTTTTCTTCGATCTGAGATTGATTTTTAAGGCCCAAAATATCATCTTTTTTTAAATCGGTATGCAGTACAGAATCTATCCAATTAATCGATATTTCACCCTTGAAAATCGCCATTAAAACTGATTTTACTGATAAGAGATCATTTATTGTTATCTTTCTTTTTTTTCTATAAGAGGTCATTTATTATGGTATCTGATAAATGCAAACAGGAAAATATATCTATATTTTAGAAATCAATTTTTTATAAATCGATACAGCTTACGATTCAAATTGATTTAAAAATCTTTCTTTTTTGGAAAGAATCGATATCCCTACTGACGACGACAATGACATTACAAAATGGCGCCAGTTTTACTGTAGGAATTTAACATAAACATTGCAAGAATAATTAATTTTCAAATAACTTTTTTTCTCAAAAAGTACGCGTTTCCGCATGTTAAAACTTTGTGTGTGCTTATAATAGTGTAACCTTTCTGTAAAAATACGTATCAACACCCAACTCGACGGACGTCAATGGAAGGCTAAGCCATATTATGGATTATTTATTTGATATTAAAATATTAAAAGTTGTATTAAATTATAATGTTTTGATCGAATATTTTTTTCTTTTGCAGATAGTTAAGGAAGGACAACTATTATTAGGTAGAGTGAGACAAATTTTAGAAACAAAAATACATATTTCACTACCATGCCGACTGTTAGGTACGGTGATGGCATGCCACATCAGTGAGCCGTACAACAAGATGCTTGAAGCATATGTCAATGATCAGGTACAATAAACAGTATGTAATTTTCTATACAAATAAATAAAATTGAAGTGTCTGTTTGTAATGTCAAAATTACAGCTTTTTACTAAATGCATATGAAAGTATTTACAGTACTAATAACAAAAATACAATTTTTAAAGTTTTTGTCCGTCTGTCCGTTTGTTCTGGCTAATCTCCGAAATGGCTGGACCAATTTCGACGGAATTTTGGCTGGCAAATAGCTGATGTCACAAGGAGTAACTTAGGCTACTTTTATTTTAGTTAAAGAATTAGGGTTCCGCGCAAAAAACTTTAACCCCATATAACACATGGGTGAAGTCTCGGGGAACAGCAAGTTTTAAATAAGAATTGAAAAAATGTTTAATCTATAACTCCAAAGTGCAGTGAATTAGCATTGGGTTGTGGCACTGGGGTACGGAAGTTCGAAACCTGCGAATGAGTATTTGTATGGCCTGCAAATAAATGATCTAGATCTTAATGTTTGTTGTGGAATTTATATATGCAAATTTCATGATACAGGAGAAAATCCCTGTGTAGGAGTAATGTTTATTTAAAAAAAAAACTGTTTGTTACATTTTTGGATATTAAATAATATAATAACAAAAAACTGTTAGTAGTTTTTGCTAGTACTAGTGGTTTCAGTACTTATTCAGAAATCAAGATTTTATCTGTCACTAAAACATAGTTCAAATGGTAGCACATACCAATCATTATTTAAAGGAAAAATTACATCAATGCTTTTATATATCAACCGTCTTCAAAAAAAGGAGGAGGTTCTCAATTTGACTGTGTTGCTCTGCAACTCCCATGGGAGAAACTTTAAAAACCCCTTGTATACATGCTGGTGTAGAGATTTCTATGAAAATATTTGATTAAAAAACTTTAAACATAGACTTTTAGTTTCGCAAAACATTCTGAGTGGCCCATGTATATAATATATAATATAAATGTAAGCTAAAAATTCTGCATTCTCCAAAGAGCCCAACAGGGTTCATTAATTAGTAATGTGTTAAAAGGGAAAACATTAAAGTTTGAGCATGAGTTGAATATTTGTATTCACTATTATTTGGGGGGGGGGGGAGTTTCCTCTCAAATATTTCACACGAGTGACGTACGAGTAAAGCCGTTGGTCACTGTGCTTGTTGTACTCACTCATGTACTGTAATCCTGCACAGATGGTTAGTATCGTCACAGCCCAACTGCTACTAACAGTCGGCCATCGAAGGCGTCTACACGTGTGGCCTGAGACGCGGTTGGAGTGCTCCCGAGCGGCTGTTAGTCGCTTGGGACCTGTCCCCTAGGGTTGTCCTGTCACACAAATAAATTAAAATGATTCACACTACATGTGCGGTAAAAAACTGTGGATCGTCCTCATTTAAAGATTATGAATTGAAGTTATTACAAGCTATTTTACTATTTCTGAAAACTCATTGTCTGTTTAAGTTATTTAATTTGTTTATTTAAATATGAAATAAAATCAAATCAGTCAGTTTTCCATTTTTTTTTTGTATTATTTCCCGTTCCGACAACCCTAGTAATTTATTATTTACTAGCAGTTCCCCGCTTCGCCCGCGTGTAATTTAGGGTTTTAATTTCATAAAAACTTTTAGGAAAATTTACTTCGCAAATATCCGCGTTATAAAATAAAATGATGTGTCTTACCTAGTATGAAGAGCACCTCCCGCCCTCCCTCAATTGCGTGCACTATCCCCGTCACCACTAATCCCAGCACCGCTACTCCCAACACCACTACACTAGGCAAGACACACCACTGACGATAATACGACACGTGTTTCACCTCTCTCTTTGGCTCGCCGCTCACTTAGCGGTTAGCCACCGTAGAGTCTATATCACCTGAGGATGCCTCGTGTAGAGGCATCTCTACACGAGGTTATAACATCAGCTATCTACTAGTGAAAGTCTGGTCAAAATTGGTCCAGCTGTTTCGGAGATTAGCTGGAACGGAGGCAAATTTTTTAAAAATTGTGTTTTTTTTTTATAAGTACAGTATATATTTTCATATGCATTTATTAAAAAGCTGTTATTTTGAATTACAAACAGACACTTCAATTAAATTTAATTGTATTAGAGTATAGATGTCGGCTTTTTTGACAACATCAAACACTTTGACTGTTCTTCTTAGGTTGTGGTATCGTTGTGACTGGCCACCGGGGCCGAAATCTAGAGGACATCACGATACTTTTTATACATTATTTAAAACCATATACAGTATTACAACATCACTAAAGCCTGTCGCGTATAATGTTTCTTTTGTTGTCACAGATAGATAAAGTTTGCGAGCTACAACAGATGTTCCGTGTGGGACAGTACGTAGCAGTAAAGGTGCTGGAAGTCAACAGCAATAACCTCATGCTGTCATTGATGCCACAGCATATCAATGCCGGACGGTCACACTCAGACTTGCATAGAGGTATTACATTTTATGTAGTTTTAATCAATCATCATGAGCATTAGTTTAATGAAATTTTGACCTGTTCGTTTTTAGTTTTATTTTATTTTTTACAAAATAAAACAAACAAACAGTGACAAACGAGCACACAGCCCACCTGATAGTAAGTGGATGTTGTGGCCCATAGACATCTATCGTCGATTACCAATCAAAATGTAAATGTTACCCCTGAGGACTAAGATGGAATGCCTTGTATCCAGTAAAACGGGTTTCCGGTTCTCTACATCCACCATACGAAACAGAGCAGCATTAAACTGCAATGTTACGCTGGTATTCTGTGATAGCATGGTCCTACTCCGGTCGAGCCGACCCATTTGTGGTACAAACATAATATAGCCGCAGCGTGGCTTTATCATATTGCATTGCATTGGTGTTTTTAAGGCAAGAGTTAATAGGTTTATAGTATTCTAAGACAATGCGATTTGTCATCTAGGTCCAAGTCCTACACACCGCCTAAAGTACACACATGTGGTATGTTAAAAGCAGAAAATATTTGAAATAAAATAGAAAATTTTATGTAATGTTTTAAAGATGTACACACTGAACATGATCTAGGACATAGATATAATTAAAATCTAAGATTATATGCCCCTGGGAAACCCTACCACCTATTAAAATGTGGTACAGACTTACATTAGATACATTTCTTCCAGGTGCTCTCCTACAAGCTGCCGTATCCTCAGTTGAAGACCATGGCTATGTTATGGACATTGGTATTTCTAACACAAGAGCTTTTTTGCCAAAGACCGCTGCTAACCCTGAAGTGGAATTAGGTAAGCTGAATAAAAATTTACTGTATGTTGCCAGGGAAAGTTCAGTTTTGTGGGATTTATTTATAGCGGATCTTAAAAGACAGAACAGCAGACATTATCTACGACTTCAAAAAGGAGCCGGTACTCTATTCGACTGTATGTTTTATTTTATTTTATTATTATATAGAATAGGGGGCAAACGAGCATGCGGCTCACCTGATGGTAAGTGACTACCGCCGCCCATGAACAACCGCAACACCAGGGGAATTGCAGATGCGTTGCCGGCCTTTTAAAAAGGTGTAAGCTCTTTTCTTGAAGGTTCGTAAGTCGTATCGGTCCGGAAAATTCCCTGGTGGTAATTGATTCCACAAGGAAGTTGTGCGAGGGAGAAAACTTCTAAATCGCACAGTGGTAGACCACCAATCATCCAGATGGTATGGATGGTAACGCGAGTTTTGTCGCAATGTGCGATGGTGAAATTGAGCAGCTGGAATTAGTCCGAACAATTCCTCAGAGCACTCCCCGTGATAGATGCGATAAAATACGCAAAGAGATGCAACATCTCTACGCAGTGCCAGTGTATCGAGCCGATCAGAAAGAACTCGGTCGTCGACGATTCGAACCGCTCTGCACTGAATGTCAAGTGGAAGGAGCTGGCACTGGGGTGCCCCGGCCCAGAGATGAGAACAGTATTCCATGTGGGGCCGAACTTGCGCTTTGTAAAGTTGCAAGAGCACGCCAAGCTTTTTAGAGGCCAATTTGGCCTTCCCTTCCAAGTGACCACGAAACTGTTCACGAAATTATTCGATATGTCGACGCCAAGGATTCCGATACTGGCTGAGGCAACAAGGGGAGTGCCTTGAAACTGAGGAGGTACGACAAAGGGGTTCTTTTTAGCGGTAAACGCGCAAACTTGTGTCTTCTGGGGATTGAACTGGACTAGATTTAGTCGGCCCCAATCCGAAACTTTGTTAAGCAAAGACCCGACTTCAGACACAAGTTTCTCCCGGTACTCGACGACGTTTTCCCGAGAAATATAGGCACGGCCGGTATATAAGGCATCACCAGTGCTGTCGTCTGCATAGCAATGAATGCTACCAGTTAGCAACATATCATTGATATGCAGGAGAAACAGCGTTGGTGATAGCACGCAGCCTTGTGGAACTCCAGCGTTGATAGGCTTGAAATCAGAGCGTCATGCACCGTCTACTACGACCTTGATGCTCCGATCAGCAAAGAAACTGGTGATCCATTTGCACAATTTCTCGGGAAGCCCATAGGAAGGAAGCTTCGAAAAAAGCGCTTTGTGCCAGACCCGATCGAAGGCCTTCGCTATGTCCAAACTAACGGCCAATTCCTCCCCCTTGGACTCTACTGCATCCGCCCATCTATGGGTTAAGTAGACTAGAAGATCACCAGCTGATCGACCCCGACGAAAACCGTACTGGTCACTAATCAGCTGGTGATCCTCAAGGTACCTCATGAGCTGGCAGTTTATAATGGATTCCATTATTTTGGAGAACAAGGAGGTGATGGCGATAGGCCTGTAGTTGGACGGGTCTGAGCGGTCGCCTTTTTTAGGGATCGGGTGGACCAAAGCTGTCTTCCATGAATTCGGGACTACGCCTTGGGAGTAGGAGTACCGGAAAAGACGCGTTAAAACCGGTGCCAACTCCGGAGCACACGTCTTCAGCACAATAGGAGGGACTCCATCGGCCCACTCGACTTGTTGACGTCCAGGGAGAAAAGTGCTTTGCGAACCGAGCGCTGTGTAAATCGCACATCCGGCATGGAGCACTCACATCGCGGGATGGTCGGCGGTGTGTTCCCCCCGTCATCTAGAGTTGAGTTGGACGCAAAAAGAGAGCACAACAGATCGGCTTTCTCCTTTGCGGCATGGGCCAGTGAGTGTCGTCCTCTCTGTGCAGAGATGGAAGAGATGACTGAAAGAAGTTCCCTTGGACAGCCTTGGCGAGAGACCAGAATTCACGGGTTCCCGAAGGAAGGCGAACTAGCTTCTCGCCAATTCTGCCGATGTGCTCAGACCTTGCCTTGGCAATGACGCTTTTGAAGGACCTGGAGGCGGAATTATACTTCTTTTTAAGTGCGCTGGTGTTTACATCGCGAGACGTCGATGCGTCAGCCCAGGCCCGATAGCACTCCTTCTTGTAGCGTGATGCTATATTACAGGAACGACCAAACCATGGCTGGGATCTGCCTCCGATGGGCACCACAGAGGATGGAATAAAAAGTTCCATACCCTGAAGTACCACATCGGCAACAGAATCGGCAGCAACGCTGGGATCATCCGGCGAGAAGCAAACCCGCCCCCATGGGTAGGATGCAAAGAAAGACCGCATTCCGTCTCAATCCACCGACCTGTAATGCCAAACACGGCGGCAACCTCCAGAACGCAACAGCGAAGGGAGCTTGAGTGGCACCACACTCCGGATCAGACAATGGTCCGAAGAGCCCAGAGGGGCATCAACGGAGACCTGATATCCGTCCGATCTTTGCGGATGGGACCTGTTGTAGCACGGAGTCTGCAGCCATTTGGACGTGGTCGATGAGTCGGTCTGTGTCGGCATTACCGCTATGGGACCTATAGAGGCACCCGTAGACGCGGGGATGGTCGTCGCTGTCTACGCGCAGCCATAGGATGGACAGGTCCGTACCTTCAAGACTGCCGAGGCGTCGAAAACAGATGTCCTCTCTTACGTATACGCAAACTCCAGCCCGGGGCACAAAGGAGTGTTCCAATTTGTACCCCGGGTAGGAGAGATATGAAGTATCAGCCGGAGAGGACACCTGAGTCTCGGTCAAAAAGAGCAAGGCCGGCTTCGCCGTCTCTAGATGGTAATGGACAGCGTTAAGGTTGGAATGAAGTCCCCTGATGTTGCAAAAATTCACGGATAGCGTGACAGGGGTCGCCTTGGTTGTATTGCTCCGCTTGCCCCGAGCAGCATTAGTCGCGAGCGGAATTTTGCCCCCCCCCCCCAGAATACGCGGGGCAGCCTGAGCACCCACGCTCAGGAGTGAAGTAGTTTGGTCGTGGATGCTCAGCGAGGGATTCTCCAGGAGTGCTGGTACCCTCCTGGGGTAGTCTTTTATTTAATTCCACTACCATGTTGATGCGGGAGGGGGGGTGGAATTGGGCCTCCGGCCACTTGCACTCACCAAGCGCAAGGCAGAGGTAAACCTCTACTTCACGCTGGTATTCTGTGAGGTCGTGGTACCACCCCGGTTCGAGCAGGCCCATCCGTGCGACAGCAAAAGCTACCGCTTGGATCTACCACTGATAAATTTACCACTGACGTATTTTGTGTGATACCTCATAACTTTTTACTGGTCGAATCATCAAGAATCATCAAATAGGTTCTATTTGATGATTCTTTTATTATTTGAAAGCTGGTGCTTCTCATGTGGTCCCATATAAATTTGATTAATCATATAAGTCTGACCAATAGTTTTTGAGTTATTCTTAATAATTTATATTGAAGTCGGTTGTACAAAATTTTTAATTTTAAATTATTCAAATTACTTCATAAAAAGAGGAGGTTCTCAATTAGTCGGAATCTTCAATTTATTTTATGTAAATTTACCGATTACTCAAAGACGTTCGAACCGATTTGGAAAATTCTTTTTTTGTTTTAAAGGGTATACATGCCTGGTGTTCGGGGGGTTTTAAAAAAAATCAACAAATAATATTCATATTGAAGTCGTTTATACAAAATTTTTAATTTACCACTTGTCACAAGTAAGCATGACAAAACTTCCAGTGGAACTATTCCAATCATGCTAATATTGTGACTACAACATAATTTCTTCGTACATTATCACTACAACATAATTTCATCGTACATTATCACTACAACATAATTTCATCGTACATTATGACTACAACATAATTTCATCGTACATTATGAATACAACATAATTTCATCGTACATAATGATTACAACATAATTTCATCGTACATTATGACTACATCATAATTTCATCGTACATTATGACTACAACATAATTTCATCGTACATTATGACTACATCTTAATTTCATCGTACATTAAGACTACAACATAATTTCATCGTACATTAAGACTACAACATAATTTCATCGTACATTATGACTACAACATAATTTCATCGTACATTATGACTACAACATAATTTCATCGTACATTATTACTACAACATAATTTCATAGTACATTATGACTACAACATAATTTCATCGTACATTATGACTACAGCATAATTTCATCGTACATTATGACTACAACATAATTTCATCGTACATTATGACTACATCATAATTTCATCGTACATTATGACTACACAACATAAATTCGTCGTACATTATGACTACAACATAATTTCATCGTACATTATGACTACAACATAATTTCATCGTACATTATGACTACAACATAATATCATCGTTCATTATGCCTACAACATAATTGCAACGTACATTATGACTACATCTTAATTTCATCGTACATTAAGACTACACCATAATTTCATCGTACATTATGACTACAACATAATTTCTTCGTACATTATCACTACAACATAATTTCATCGTACATTATCACTACAACATAATTTCATCGTACATTATGACTACAACATAATTTCATCGTACATTATGAATACAACATAATTTCATCGTACATAATGATTACAACATAATTTCATCGTACATTATGACTACATCATAATTTCATCGTACATTATGACTACAACATAATTTCATCGTACATTATGACTACATCTTAATTTCATCGTACATTAAGACTACACCATAATTTCATCGTACATTAAGACTACAACATAATTTCATCGTACATTATGACTACAACATAATTTCATCGTACATTATGACTACAACATAATTTCATCGTACATTATTACTACAACATAATTTCATAGTACATTATGACTACAACATAATTTCATCGTACATTATGACTACAGCATAATTTCATCGTACATTATGACTACAACATAATTTCATCGTACATTATGACTACATCATAATTTCATCGTACATTATGACTACACAACATAAATTCGTCGTACATTATGACTACAACATAATTTCATCGTACATTATGACTACAACATAATTTCATCGTACATTATGACTACAACATAATATCATCGTTCATTATGCCTACAACATAATTGCAACGTACATTATGACTACAACATAATTTCATCGTACATTATGACTACAGCATAATTTCATCGTACATTATGACTACATCATAATTTCATCGTACATTATGACTACAACATAATTTCATCGTACATTATGACTACAACATTATTTCATCGTATATTATGACTGTAATGTTTAAATAATACACCGTACATTCGCTAAGACGTTTAATTCCCGACTGCTGGCGCACGGACAATCTCGTGCTAGCTACCTAAATAAATAATCTAATCGTTTGATTCGGCCCGCATGGCGGACGACCGGCTTAATTATACCTAAAGGGTTTATTCTGAAGTCATCATAACAGTTTAACACTATTTTACTATTTTTAATTGGATGATGGTTAAAATACTTTTCATGTGTTTGCCTATTAATACATGACACAGCCGCACCCGTGTCCACTTCCATTTTAATTGTTTTATTGTCAATTATTACGGGTAAACTCACCGGTTGGTAGTCGTTTAGGCATAGATGGTGGAAGTCTGCCTCCGGTACTTCTTCGTTTTCAACTGCTCCTTCCGCCCCACCATAGTGTAATGGGGCCGCCGTTTGTTTTCTCCGTGTTTTATCGGCTGCGTCTGGGCACACGCGTCGCATGTGGCCCGGGCGCCTGCACATGCTGCATATATAGTCCCGGAAACGACAGTTCGAATACTCATGATCCGTCGCTCCGCAGCCTCCGCAATTGAACTGACGACCCCCAGCCCCAGGGTCACTGGCGGAATTGGTGCGTGCGCTACTGCGCGTGCGCACCGTCCTGCGCGCCGCCCCCGCGCCGCACCCGCTCCCCGCGTTGCCACACCCCGCCACGTGTGAGCGCATGCACCGTCGTCAATTCCTGAACCCTGGTATCCTTCCCCGTTGTAGTAGCACCTTCCACTGCAGCCGCGTCTCGCTCCGCTGCTTCGAGAGAGGTTTCAATTTTGACTACGCTGGTGTATGGTAGCGACTCATCCTCCGCGAACAACCGTTGTCTAATGACGTCGCTTCGCAGCCCGCAAACAAATTGATCTCGTAAGTTCTCATTAAGAGCCTCCTTAAACTTACAATGACGTGCCAGCTTCTTTAATTCCGCGACGTAGCTCGCTATATTTTCATTGCTAGCCTGCCTGCGTTGTCTGAATCGGTACCTATCAGCGTGCACAGACGGTGTCGGATGTAAATGCTGACGTAGTAGTTCCACTGCGTCATCGTACGATAGTTCGGATGGTTTCTTTGGACTTGCTAGGTTTGCCAACAATTCGTATGCTTCATCGCCGATTACCGCGATTAGTGTGGGTAATTTTAACTCAGCTTTTATTTGAAAGAAATACATTTCTAGTCTATCCACATACGACGACCATGCTCCATTTCTTAAATCAAATTCACCGATTTTCCCTACCGACATTCTATTATTTACTACAGCAAACAACGTATACCCAAATTCAACGCTATCCCAAACTCGTTAGCCACTGTAATATTTAAATAATACACCGTGCGTTCGCTAAGACGTTTAATTCCCGACTGCCGCCGCACGGACAATCTCGTGCTAGCTACCTAAATCTATATACATACATTACAATGACTACAACATAATTTCATCGTACATTATGACTACAACATAATTCCATCGTTAGTAGTCAGCTTGATCGGGGAAGGATCACACTCTCACAAAATAAAATAATGAAATGATATAGAATAGAATGATATTTTTTATAGAATAAGGCTGCGTTTCCACCAGAGATGTGCGAGGTGGCTTGGCGGTGCGAGGATGCGTAGAGAGGCTGTGGAACGGTGTAAGCGTTTCCACCAGAGATGTGCTAGACCGCTGAGCGGTACGAGGTTGCGTAGCGTAGTAGAGAACACATACCTCGCACACACCCTTTAACACATCCCTAGCCACACATCCTTCGCACACATTCTTCCCATGTTTTGTATGTATAAAAACCTCGCTCCGCTGAGCCGTTTCCAGCTGTGCTGAGCGAGGCTAGGTAAGTGAAGTGATTCTGTTGGTTACTAACAAACACATCCCTCGCTACTCATTCTCGTACATATCTGGTGGAAACGCAGCCTAAGGGTGACAAGTCAACACACAGATGATAACAATAGGAAGATGGTAAGGGCATACTCTGGCCCATAGACATCTACGTTTATCCTCAATAAAGAATCAAAATGCAGATGCGTTGACAACTCTGAGGACTAAGATGGAATGCCTCTTTTCCAGTAACAAGGCTCTCCGGCTCTCTACACTCACCGTACCAAAACACAGCAGCTTGAAGTTGCTATTTTACGCTGGTATTCCGTGAGAGCGTGGTCCTTCCCCGGTCGCGCCGACCCATTTGTGCTACAACCATAATATAGCCGCAGCATGACTTTACCATGCATAAACCATTATAATAAAAGAGAAATCTCAGAAAAGGGATCGCTGAGTTGGTGCTGCGTGAAGACTATCACGGCGGAGTCGGACAGCAGCGTGGTGACGCTCAGTAGCGAGCTGGTCGCTTTACAGCATGCGGTGCAGAGACGCGCCACAGACTCCCTCATGCCAGCCACAGCGCTCGACTTCACCGTTGATAAGGTACCTGGTGCAAACCTATAGAGTAGAATAGAATATTTTTTATTCACTTGTGACTTGACTGAATGACTTTTTTTAAATAACTGGCTTTACTGCTCTGGGTTCTAGCCCTTCTGAGCCTGAAGTTACAATGTATAATTATCCTTGATAATACACTGCTTCACAATATATTGATGCATCTGAATGACTTTTATTGATTATATGGCACAGAATAAATAATAGTACTACGTGCAGAAGTTGCACTCTTTTCATGTTGACTACCTGTTACATTACCACTTACTTTACTTTAAAAGTGTATACATTGCCCCATGAAGTATTTACTGACTCTTTTGGAGTCAAGTAAGTTGTATAACTAACTAACTTGACATATGAAATCGTTAAGAATACAATTGAAATGACAATTACAGCTAAACGTGGACTTTTATAGATTGCCTAAAAGCGGGAATATTTACCGTAGTTGCCTAGCTTGGTAAACCGGTTGGTACCGGCCATCCCCTAGTCTGTTTTCCTTCTGTCGCCTCTTACGACATCCAGGGGACGATATAAAGTACAGGATATTCTTACACCGCCACTACACGGAAGAATACAATAATTTTATTATTTTATTAACCGACTTCAAAAAGCAGGCGGTTCTGAATTCGATTGCTTGTTCTTTTTTTTGTATGTATGCTACGCGATATTTTTGCAGATTGTGAACTGATTTTAATGATTCTTTTTTATTAAATAGGTTTTACCTCAATGGTGGTCCCATTTAATTTCGAAGAAACAATTCCGCCCCCAAGGTGGAAAATAGGGGAAGAAGTTTCATATTGGACTATTGTTTAAGGAGTTTCATATGATATCTTCGCAGATTGAGAACGATTTTATGATTCAAGGGGACCAACCATATAAATTCGGAAAAAAAACTCCAATGTAGCAAATAGATTATTTATTTTTTATCAATTTGAAGTCGTTTTTTTTTCTTTTTGTTTAAAGTTATAATTATATAAATACTCTCTGGCAACCATATAGTAGCGCTATGCTACTATACGCTTAATATACATAATTTGTGTTAAAGTTCCATTTTTAAATTCTAACGCCGATTCCTTCTGCAGTCTCTGGACAACGGCATCGAAGGTCACGTGTTCGAAAACACCACAGCATACGTACAACGGCAGCAAGTCGACAAGGTCAAAGGCAAGAAACCTAACCTTGGACAGAGGGTATATATTTTTAAGTATTACATACTGTTGAAGAAATTAAGTTTTTTTTTTTAATTTTTACTTAGTGGCGTTTACCCGCAAGTAATTGCAATGAGAGCTAACCATCTTGCGCACACCAGTTTTTTTTATAGGATAGGGTGACAAACGAGCACATAGTCCACCTGATAATAAGTAGTTGCTGTGGCCTATAGACATCTACATCTATCCTCGTTTGCAAATCAAAATGCAGATGCGTTGTCACCCGTGAGGACTAAGATGGAATGCCTCTTTTCCAGTGAAAAGGGTACTTGGGACTGAGGTGAAGATATTTGTTACACAATGTCATCATAATAGAGAAGTTGCATTTTATATCAAAGTTTATGAGTTTCTAGAATGTATAATTACACAAAACAATCTCTCGATGGTTTGCTCTTAATTTTTATTTTTATGCGCTTTTTTAACCATTTTTTAATTTTTCTACTTTTAAGAATATCCGTAGTTTGGTTTATTTATTTCTAATCTAATTATTAAAATATATAACTAATATTTCAAAAAAGCGGCCAAATGCGAGTCGGACTCGCCCATGAAAGGTTCCGTAGCAGCAAGTAACATAATTTACGGTTTATGACGTATTAAAAAAAATACTTACTAGATCTTGTCCAAACCAATTTTCCGTGAAAGTTTACATGGTAATGTACATCATATATATATATTTTTTTTAGTTTTATCATTCTACCACTTTGACACATTTTACCACTGGAAAGTGTCTCCCGCGCAAACTTTTCAGTTTAGAAAAAAATTATATAAGAAACCTCAATATCATTTTTGAAGACCTATCCTTAGATACCTCACACGTATGGGTTTCTGTTCTAAGTATGGGGAACCCCCAAAATGTATTTTTTTTTCTATTTTTGTGTGAAAACTTACGAAGTTTCAACAGCATAGTTCTTATAGTTTCGGAAAAAAGTGGCTGTGACATACGGACGGACAGACAGACATGACGAATACATAAGGGTACCGTTTTTTGCCATTTGGCTACGGAACCCTAAAAAGATATTAACCCTTTCATTTTTCTTACAATTTAACTTCTCCACCATGCAATCTGTTAAATGTTTCACCTCGCTCTTAAGCGTCCCGCGTCGCCCTGGTGGCAGAAAAAGTCGTGGACTCCTTCATTAGAATAAAATTATATTATACTTTAAGATTTTGTATGTGAAATTGCAACAATTTTAAATAGATCTTTTTAAAGCAAATACCTCGGAGTACCTTCAGCTTTTAATTAGCTAAATGTACTCTGGGTTAACTTTGAGATCAGGACGTCGATCACCTCAGTCCCATAGGTGCTGGCCCGCACCGCTGCACGAAACGTCGGGAATTAAAAATAAGTAAAATTAAAGGCGATACAATCCGTAACAAAAGTTTTATTCAATGTGTCAAATGTCAAACGGGGAGAAGTATATCCCCGTTTGACATAACGAGTATACATATATCCCCCGTCCGTAGCATAGAGCCAAATGAAAGATAAAAAATTATGCGTTTTTGACATTTGAAAGGGACAATTTTATCCTAGTTCATTGGACGTGGGTTGAAGTTTACATTCATACAAAAAAATCTATCTAAGTCTAAGTTTATCTCCCAATTTATCAACTGTGGATATTATATCCACCAGTGTGCCCATGCCGTGATAGCCGGGCTGAGGGCTAAAATGAAATACCTCGTTACCAGTGAAAAGGGGTTTCCGGTTTTCTACACTCACCATACAAAACACAACGATGTGAGTTTTTCAGCGCAACCCCGGTTGAGCCGACCCATACGTGCTGCAACCATAATATGGCTGCAGCGTGGCTCTACTACTTAAAAATTTTGATTTGTTAACTTAAACTTTTACCCGACTGCAGCGGAGGCCAAAAGTATGTTAAATGTATTTCCGTTTCACTGTCCGCTCGTAACGCCCAAACTAGTCATCGGATTGTGACAATTGTCTCAATCTTTTCGTGATAATTTTACAGGTAACATAAACTGACAATGACGTCATTCATTCATTTATTTTAACCTGTCAAAGTTCACTGCTGAACATAGGTCTCCCCGTAAATTACCTCATAAGGACGATATTTGCCACGATCGGTTAGCGGGTTGGCAAGAGATATTTATTTTTTATTTTCTAGTTGTCGTTATGAAGACGCTGCTGCACATCTTCTGGTTTTATTTCCCTCTTACGACACCGACGGGGCGATAGGAATATTTGCCGTAGTTGCCTAGCTTAGTAAACCGGTTGGTAAACACAGTTTGTATTGAGTGCTTATCGGAAAGACGCTGCCGGCCATCCCCTAGTCTGTTTTCCTTCTGTCGCCTCTTACGACGTCCAGGGGACGATATAAAGTACTGGATATTCTTACACCGCCACTACACGGTTCTTTTATATACTAGCTATTCGTCCCAGCTTCGCTGGGTTGGATTTGTTAATGTGACGTCATGTAGTTATAAGATATCATCAAAGACAATTTTTTTAGCATATATCACTTCTGGCACTGCTTTCTATCGGTTTTTGTTTCTATGTCTTTCAACACAAAGGTGATTCCGAACTCCGTTCGTCGTCATGTTCTTCCTCTTCCAACAATATAAATAAAAGTTGGTACTCAATCGACGTATTGTCAACTCTAAGGAACTTAATGAATACACGACAGCGTAACACCACTAACAATGCTACACTGCCGCCTTGCTCGGAATCACTGCAGCCAACACTGCTGCGTGCAGCCAAGGTCGGAATAATACATTAACGTACGAAGATTAGCATGGAAAGACAAACAGATAAAAATTTGAAAATTGTTATTCATGTCTTAATGGTGTTCCCAGTCTAATAAAAGGCAGTTATTTCGATATAGTTAACTGACAGACACTTCAATTTTATTTATATGTATAGATAATTATGAAATTTCGTGCAACAGATCCGTGCTCGAGTGCTGTATGTGATACCGACGAGGAACACGCCGTTCCTCACCATGAAGGACATATTTGCCACCACGTACCCAGACCTTGCGTCAGAGCAAAGGTTCAAAGAGGGAGACATCATTGAAGAGGCGCAGGTACTTTAAAGTTTAAAATATATATACATATATATATACAAATTCAAGACATTTTTTTCTGAGGTTAAATATATGCCAATCTCTTCAATATTGCGAATTACTAACAATTTTGCCGCCGTTTTTTCGTTTTGTTTTTTTTATTTACATTTTTAAATTTGGAAAATAGAATAAAAGAGGTTTCAATCTGTATATAAACTTTTTATGGAAACTGATAAATTTTTAAACTATAAAGTTTCTGAGGTTGATTCTTGAGATTCTGTTGTGTGTATATGTTGGTGATATTGCTATAACTTACAAATTATTTGATGGTATTGTAAAGTATTGAATGAAATTATATATAAAAAAAAAATTAAACAGTGACTTATATACATACTCATACATATAATATTGTATTATTTTCAATTTTTACAGGTGATAAAGATCCTGGGTCGGTCGATAATCTTTAAACTAGGGCGGGGCAGCACGGGCACACTGAGTCTTCGCCGTATCCAGGTGGACGAGGACCTCACTGATGAAGACGTGGTTGCCAAGTCCTATCCTATCGGTGAGTTGTTAATGCATTATTCACATCGTAATATTGAATAAGGGTGACAAATGAGCACACACTTCATCTGAGTGGACGCTATGGCCAATAGACATGTACACCTATCCTCGATTAAGAATCAAAAATCAGACGCGATGTAACCCCTGAGGACTAAGATGGAATGCTTTGATCTAGTAAAAGGGTCCTTCCCCGGTCGAACCGACCTATTCGTGCTGCAACTATAATATAGTTATTGCATGGCTCTACCACGTATAAAATACGCTTTTAATTTAAATATTTTAGGTTATGATGCTGACTGCATTTTTAACAGGAATCCCCGACGGCGATTACTCGATGCAAACATATTGCTCCGTTTTCTCCCCGGATAATATCCAGCACGGAACAAGTATTTGTATGGCCTACAAATAATTGTTCCGGGTCTGGATGTTTGTCCTTGTGCAATTTGTGTTTGTAAATTGCCTCCACGATACAGGAGAAAATCCTAGTGTGGGGATAACGTTTTATTAAAAAAAAAAAGAAAAGTAAGAATGACACTAGCGTTTTTTTAGACTTAAATTAAAAGTATTCTTTTGTAAAAAAAAAAATGTTACTCTCGCTGTAGGATTATTTAAAATATTTTTTTTTCAATAATTAAATTATTCACACGTCTTTCTTCATCTCTCAACGTCGACCGTATACGAGCGGTGCACGGTTACACATTGAAATCTTTATACATGAATGTCGTTCAAAGCCTATCGTTTTAGGCGACATTTGAAATCGTAAAAAATTATCGAAAAAATTTTCCCGACGCAAATCCATTTTTAATAAAACACGATTTTTCAATTTAGGTCGTATAATGTATGGAGGGAAATTTGAAATTAGAACATACGTCTTTTTAGTTGTAAATAATTGTATATTCACGATACAATTATAACTGGCCAGTGTCATACACAAAACCTTTTTTTTTTTCGAAACTTTCTGTGTGGTCTGTGTACAGTTTTTTTAAAGTTATGTTTTTTTCAGGCAGCACCCATCGCGTCCGCGTGCTTTGCTACAATCTATCAGACTATACATATTCCCTGAGCGACGAACCTGCGATCCTCTCTGAGAAGTACTTCACCATGGCGGACCTGGCCGTTGGGGATATCGTCCCCGCTACAGTTAAAGTTGTGACCGAAGATCGCTTGCATCTTGCTGTCGGGAGACTTACCGGTATGAAATATTTGTTGGCATTGGTCTGTCATGAATTATATGTATGCGTGCGTGCATGTCTGCGTATTGTGTGTTGTTAATTTGTTTTTACACTATCTTCACAATCTCCATAGACTATTGTAAAAAGACAATTTAAAATCATACAAAATAATGTAGTGATTATCTCTACACAGTACGACTGTTTGGCCAACGTTGTGTGTGTTCACATTGGCAGCATGAACGTAAACAATTAATGTTTCATTTAATGTTACCTATATATTTGTAACATATTATAACAGCGCGGGCGCATAGCGGCCTGGGGACTTGGCTCGCAATCGATCTATTACAAATAACCCGACTTGCAAGCACCTCACCGCCAAAGGACCGCCTCCGCAGCGAGCACGAATACACACAAACCAAAGAATCCAAAAAAAAAAACTCATGCGATTGCATCATGAGTTTTTTTTTTAAAATAAAACTGCAGTTTCTCTATCGCTGTGGGCGCGTCTAATTATCCCTTCATAAAATTCCATTTTCTAGCCCAAACCACACCTTAGATATAGATTTAAATCAGACACGTATTGTTCCATTTAAATAATATAGACAAAACATAAAATTAAACTGAAATTATTTTCGTTTGAATGAGCATTATTTTTCAGGTTTTGTTCCGCATACACACTTGTCCGACTCCGGCGTGTATAAAGACCCCAAAAAGGCTACCACGTCACAACTGACCAAGAAAAAATACAAGGTAATAAAATATTATTTTTTTATAGCTTACGAATAACACATCATTGTACGTATCTCTTCTCTTACATAGTTTTAAACCAAGTCGCTTCCCACTGTCTGTACGCTTAAATCTTTTAAACTACGCAATGTATTTTGATGCGAATTTCATCAATATCATGCATATTATATGTTATATAATTATTCTGTCCGTGTGTATTTGACTGAACTCCTCCTAAACGGGTGGACCGATTTTGATGAAATTTTGTGTGTGTGTGTGATTAAGTTGATTAGAGAATGGTTTAGATTCAAAATTGGATCCGGTAGGAGGCGTTGTTGTCAACCGAGCGAAGCCGGGGCGAATCACTAGTTAAAAATATTTTTGATGTCACATTTGGTTATTAAAATGTCTGTCTCATTAGTTACGTGATCATTTTTACCAGATAGTTGCTTTACGAATGGATGAGAACATGGCTGCTAAGATAACTGAATTGTTTATTGTTCAAATGTCTACAAGTTCATCTTCTCAATTTGTACCCATTTTTTTGCATAGACTTCGATGTATATTATATTCTATGTATGCTAGACGGGCAATTCAGAACAAAAAGGTATCTGGCACAGTAAATATGCCACGCAGTTATATTTTCATTTATGACACTTACGTTTATTAGGCAACTACGAAATAAAGTTTCATACTTATCTGAAAGAAACTTCAAATCACGTTGAAAAAGTGCGCACAATAAATAATGACAGCGTTTTCTAAGTCACATTAAACAAATCTAGTATTAGATTGTCTAAAACAAGGTTCGCGGTTTACAAAACATATAATTTGTCTTCTCGCCCGCTTGCAGTAGACTAAAGAAGTTACGGAGAATTGACCGTATTGCTCAATATAGTACATATCTTGTAGTTATCTGTTAGGCTCTCTCTTTGCGTCCAACTCGACTCACTATGACGGGGGAAACTCTGTGCTGGGAGGAGCTGTTTACGCAGCGCTCGGTGCACAAAGCACTACTCTCCCTGGTCATCAACAAGTTGAGTGAGCCTGATGGAGTCCCTCCTATTATGCTGAAGACGTGTGCCCCGGAGTTGGCACCGGTTTTAACGCGTCTTTTTCGGTACTCCGACTCCCAAGGCGTAGTCCCGAATTCATAGTAGACAGCTTTGGTCCACCCGATCCCTAAAAAAGGTGACCGCTCACACCCGTCTAACTACAGGCCTATCGCCATCACCTCCTTGTTCTCACCTTGAGGATCTGACCTGAGCTGATTAGTGACCGCCAATACGGTTTTCGTCGGGGTCGATCAGCTGGTGATCTTCTGATCTACCTGACTCATAGATAGGTGGAGGCAGTGGAGTTCAAAGAGGAGGTCTTGGCCGTTAGTTTCGACATAGCGAAAGCCTTCGATCGGGTTGGGCATAAAGCACTTCTTTCAAAACTTCCTTCCTGTAGTCTTCCTAAGAAATTGTGTATTTGGATCAATAGTTTTCTGACTGACCGGAGCATTAAGGTCGTAGTAGACGGTACATGCTCCGATCTTCGCACAACGTCCTTGTGGAACCGTCTACCACCAGCGATTTTTCTCAACCGATACGACTTATGGACATTCACAGAACGAGCTTACTCTTTTTTAAAAGGCCGGCAACGCATCTCCAATTCTCTTCGTGTTGCAGATGTTCATTGGCAGCGGTCGACACTTACCATCAAGTGAGCCGCATGCTCTTTTGCCCCCTCTTCTATAAAAAAAAATATACATAGTCTTTGTTTTTTTATTCTTAATAGGCTAAAATAAAACTTTAATGTTTTATTACTCTGTATCTTTTTATTGTTGTAAAAATTGTGTAATAAATTAATGAAAAATACTAAAAAAGATTTGAGGATTGAAAAGAAATTGCCCAGCTATAGCCTAGATGTAGAACATATTATGTATGTAGACTTAACATAAAAAAGTAACTTGTTATTTTCAGGTGGGACAAGAGGTAAAGGCACGGGTGCTCACACTAGACCCGTCGAAGCCGTCGCTAGTTTTGACACTGAAACCATCTCTGTTGGCCCCCGAACTCGAAGTCTTAAAAAGTTACGAACAGGCCGAGGTTGGGAAGGCGTATACTGGCGTTATACTGGTGAGTACTTTATATAAACACAAGCTAGTTATACCAGTTTATCAACACCACAGAGTCAGTAATAAATTATTGGGGTAATGTATACACTATTACAACAAAGTCCCAGAAAATATACAAAGTTAAATATTTTATTAAACAAAAACTATATAATATAAATGAATACATGGTTGATAATAACCCACGGGAATGTGATGATCGCTTCCAAGCTGTTTCTATAACAAATTTTATATATAGTTTGTACAACTATTGTGTAATTTATTTTGACAAGAAACAGTCCCGCTGCGTTTCTTGCCGGTTCTTCCCAGGACAGAGGTTTTTTTTTTCCGAACCAGTGGTAAAAGTAAAAAATGTCTTTCAAGGACGCAACCTTCTTACTTTTTAACTGACTTGGTAAAGTCAAATCGAGGGCTTTGATTACTGAAATTCTCGTTCGTTATATCACATGCTTGGTGTTGAAGTTGACATTTTGAGTTTCTTCATTAAATAAAACTGCATGCTTAAGTAATAAAATATTTTAAATGTCCGCGATGTCACGACCCTTTTTAGTGGAAACGAGGTATTTCATCTTAGTCCTCAGGGGTGATAACGCATCTGTATTTTGATTCTTTATCGAGGATAAATGTTTTGTTTTATATAGGATATGGGGACGAGCTAGCACGCAAATCAGCTGATGGTAAGTGGATATTGTGGCCTATAAACTGATATGATGATGACGTTGTTATCCCTGAAGGCTAAGATGGAATGCCTCGTTTCCTGTAAAAAGGGTCTCCAGTTCTTTACACTCACCATACGAAATACAGAAGCACTTAGCTGCTATATTACGCTAGTATTCTGTGAAAGCGTGGTCCTTCCCCGGTCGAACCTACCCATTCCTGCAGCCGTAATATAGCTGTAGGGTGGCTCTACCACGTAAAAAGAATGTAGATGGCTATAGGCCACGGCATCCACTTACCATCAGACGAACTGTGTGCTTGTTTGTCAACCTTATTCTATAAAAAGAACGTACTGGAACAGCGTGTATGCGTAGATATATGGATGTAAAAGAGGCGAGAGAGGTGTGTCAGGATCGCGCCAAATGGAAGTCCGTAGTCTCTGCCTACCCCTCTGGGTGACAGGCGTGAGTGTTTATGTTTATGTATGTACTGGAACAGCATGGTGGATTTTTTTTGCTTTATAGCCCTCAAAAATGAACAAGCGTGTGCCCACGTGTGTGACTATAACGTTACCTTTACTTTTTTTTACTACTCTAAGCCAGCGCTTAACTATTATCCCATCTGATGGTAAGTGGGATTAGTTTATAAAATAGGGAAAATTAAATTTCTCTTTCAGTACATCCGGGACTACTTGCTGGTGTCGTTCTTCAACGGCCTGGTGGCGCACGTGCCAGGAAGATTGGTTGCAAACCCACCACCGCCGACTCTCAATACCGTTTTCCATCTCGGACAAATCGTGAGTAGATTATTGCGAACGTGCGGTTTAGGGACATACCGCAATGAAATTAATAAATATCATATATATCAGCGCTGCGGTAACTGTGTTACTGTAACAATTATCCCAAATTGAATGTGATTTATGAGCAACAACTACTCTTACGCGAGCTCCTGTGTGTGTGTGATTCAATTCACGTTTTCGTTTCTCAAGTTTTTGTCTACTGTTTACTTTTTTAGTGACACGCATATTACGAATGCTTAAGATAATAAGTACGTGACGCGTTTCCAATTTTCCTTTTAATGGGCTTAGTATCGTCATAATAAATAAAATTAAAAAATATATTTTTGCTTATCCACGACATAATTGCCGACTGTCATTATGGCGTATTTAAAAAATTTAAATAAACTATTTACAACTTAATTACGCATGTAGTCCCAATATCTAATATTGGTACCTCAAAATGGAATCAGTTTCTCTTGTGGGGATGTGAATAACGAACACCACATATTAAATAACCGTTTATTCACGACGTAAATTCAAAGTAGCTGATCGATGCGTATCGGCGATCAGGTATCGACTGGCGAAGCGAACAAAACAACCGTTTGCCTCTGCGCAGCCGAGGGCTTCCGAACATTTTTTTTTTGCATGGACTAGCACGTTATTATAAAATATTTTTTTACACTTATTACCTGTTTTTGAGCACTTTACTTCCGTGAACGCAGCAATAATTTTACTGTGGCGGTCTTCATAATTTTCGGCCTCTGACGTAAACACGACTATACACAGATAAAAGACTAACGGTGATAATTCCGGCGACTTTGCAGACCATAGTATAGGATCTCCGTGCGCAATCCACCTATTTTCATATTCATTACTTAAGTTGTCGCTCACTGTGCTTGAATAGTTTTATTATCTGTCAATTGTTCTTGGATTGGTAGTTTAATGTCGACACGTACGTTAATTTCTTGCCGCGGTAAAGATTTACTTTAGTATCTTTGCGTAACACGTAACTTGCCACCACTTTCATTTCGTAAAATTTAATATCGCACTATTTCATAGTTTCATAGTATTCGCGGTTCAAATATTTTCGTTACATGATTGGTTAACGAAGCGTACGTAATGACGACACGTCAACTGTCAGCTGTCGGCAACGGAGTAAATAGAAGGGATGGGCGAGGGAAGACGCGCGATAAGGTACCTTACCGAGCGACCCTTACAAATGTGTGAGTGCGTAAAATAGTACGCGGGAGATATTTATGATTGACAATCAGTCAAAATAATCCATTACCACGCATTTTGAATTTAATGATAAAAGTGAAAGAATTTTTCAGATTTTTTAAATTAAGTTCTCTTCGCCATTTGCCTATATTACTTATTCTGAATTTTCTCTGCAAATTTGGCCGGTTATGAGTAGAAAACAATGTCAGACCCATGGGTAGCTGAAACATGTTCTATGAGTGGTTTTATTAAACTTTAAATGCATGCTTTTAGGTAAACTGCACTATACTTAAAGTGGACGCGAAAAATAAAAGGATGTCTGGAAGTCTCACAACTGCTCCGTTTGATCCATCTGTAAGTATATTTTCTCAACATTTTGTATGACAAAAACGCGTGGTTTTTCACTTGAAAATCTTATAGTTGCAGAAAAAGGAAAAAAAGACATCCAAGAGGAGACAAGAGACAGAGGTACCTGTACCTAAAAAGAAACAAAAGGCTGTGATATCTGAGGCTGAGGCAGAAGAGAAAACTGCGGGAGAAATAACCAAAAAAGAACGGAAAAAGAAAAAAGACAAAAAACCTGTAAAAGAAACGCAGGAAGTAGAATTGGTAGATGTAAATAGTAACGATGCAAGTGACGAAAGAGAACACTGTGACCAGGAAAATAACGACGATGAAGAAACTAAGAAACCTAAAAAGAAAAAAGATAAATCAAAGGCCAACAAAGTTACAGAAAAAAATGATGAGGAATATGAATTATTCAAAATAGACGAGGAAACTGTTGACAAAGGTTTACCACATCAAAGCTCTGAAAAGGATGTTAAGAAAAGAAAACGTCAGATATCTGAACCTATCGTTGAAGATAGTGAGTCAAATAATCAACCGACAGCTAACCCTAATATTAAAAGAAAGATTAACAAGGGCGATGATGTAGACAATAACATAGACACTTCAAAAGTAAAACAAAAAGAGAAAAAGAAGAAAAAGGAGGCAGAAGAGATATCAGAGAAAGAAAACAAGGAAAATGAAGAAAGTGACCCGATAGAAACGGATATATATGAAGATAGTGATCAAGTTCTGACGCCGCAAGACTTGGGCCTTATAGACATGTCCGACTGTTCAACCGCAAAGAGTTACAAGAAACGAATAAAATCTTTATTAAAAGCTATCAAAGCAAAGATGATGCGAATTAAGAAAATAGACAACAAAATAACTGCTATAGAAAACAAAGGGCTTAATGCCAATAACAAGAAGTTTCACACGGCTATGCACATGGAGAAACTTCTCATACAACAACGCATCCAAAAACTAATGGAAGCATTACAAACAGCACAAGACAGACTTAAAGATTTTGATTTAGATGAGACCAAGGATTATAAAAAGAAAAAACTAAAGAAAACAGATGAGGAACAAGTTGAAAAGAAAGATGTTCAAAATACAGAAACAGAAAAAGAGAAGACGAAAGTTACTGAGAAAAATAAAAAATCTAAAATAGAGAGTTTAGAGTCTGTAATAAGCATACCAAGTGTAAAAGAATTCTGGTCTGCGCCCGCGGAGTCACAGCCAAGTGCTCCGGAACAGGACTCGAGTAGCAGTGATGACGAGGTACGTACTATTTATATACATTTTAGTAAGAATCTAAAGGTATTTCTGCCGCATTATGTCATGGTGTAATCTACAACCAAGTAAGAACCTACAACCAAGCGTGATAACTATGGTAAATATCCCCCCCTGGGCTATCTATGGTGGAGGGTCTATATATACTCAGAAGTGGGCTTTTGATAGGCTGTAATGATGATGATTTCGATCCGTGGGTGTAGAGAAGTGATTTTGGAAATGTAGCTAGAAAAATTGCATGACATCCGATTGATATATGCCATCCAACCACATATCATATATGCCAGATGTAAAATGTTCGTTTATTTTTCATTATTTTTGGTTTAATTGCATTTTACGTCAACATCCGGTTGTTGTTGCCGTGTAGTGGCAGTTAAGAATATCCACTACCCCATATCTTCCCGTGGGTGTCGTAAAAGGTGACAAAGGGAAACAGGCAGGAGATGGGCATCAGCATCTTCCTGATAACAACAAACTTACAATAAAAAAATTGCGGTTGCCAACCTGCTCGCCAAGCGTGGCAACTATGGCAAATACCCGCCTATGATGACAGTAACAAAGAAACGGCTCCCAGTCCCCGGCGGCCCCGCTATTCCTGGCTACGGTGACGACCTTGGTAACGGCGGGGCAGGGGGGTGCTAAGAATCTCCGGTGGAGGTTCGGTTGCCACCTAAGACGACTTGACCTGGCAACATACAACGCACGCACCCTGAGGACTGACGAGAAGATCGTGGAGCTGGAAGAAGAGATAGACAAGTTACGCTGGCATATTATAGGATTATCCGAAGTCCGATGAGAGGGGGAGGACACGGTAATCCTCGAATCCGGCAACTTGCTCTATCACCGGGAGGGCGACCATCTGTCCCAAAGAGGTGTCGGATTTATCGTCCACAAGTCTCTTGTTAACAACGTTATAAAGATTGAGAGTGTGTGTGTCGACGAGGGTTGCGTACCTTATACTCAGAATTACCAAACGGTATTCGCTGAAGGTCATACAGGTTTACGCACCAACCTCGGCACACCCCGATGAGGAGGTGGAGGAAGTGTATGAGGATATCTCTAGAGCCATGCATTCCTCCAAAACCCAATATACGGTGTTAATGGGAGACTTCAATGCAAAACTAGGCACAAGAGAGAACGGTGAGCTGAAAGTAGGCAAATTTGGAATAGGGCAACGGAAACCAAGGGGCCAGCAGCTGGCTGACTTCATGGAGAAAGAGGGATCTTTATGATGAACTCTTTCTTCCAGAAGCGGCCACACAGGAAGTGGACCTGGTCGAGCCCCGACGGTTCCACAAAAAATGAGATTGACTTCATTCTGACGACCAGACAACAACTGTTGAGTGATGTCTCCGTGATCGCGAGGGTGAAAACTGGTAACGATCACCGAATGGTTAGAGACACACTGAACCTAAACGTTAAGTTGGAGATGTCTCATCTAATGAAGTCAACGCTCCGTCCCCCTCGTGCTCTGTTCTAAAGTCCCGAAACCTTTCAGCTCGAGTTACAAAACCGTTTTCAGTGCCTAGAAGACTGCAATGAAGTGGAAGATATGAATGACAAGCTCGTAGAAACTGTCCATGCGGTCGGAGCTAAGTTCTGCAGGACCCGCCGCAGCAGAACACAAAAACTCTCCGATCACACTCTCAATCTCATGGCTGTTAGACGGGAGATGAAGCTACATTCTTCAACAGATTTGACAGCATACAGACAACTGAACAGACAGATCTCCAAATGCATGCGGCGGGACTTACGCAACTTCAATACAGCTTGTATTGAAGAAGCGATCGAGCGGAACCAGGGCTCCAAAGTCTTTGCCAGAGATCTGTCTGCCAGAACGAGCCAACTGTCGAAGCTGAAGACCGAGTCTGGCAGCATCGTTTCCGGGGCACCTGAGAATTTTAGGAGAGATTGAGAGGTTCTATGGGCAGCTCTACACGTCATCGTTGGAGCCACACGCAAGTGTGAGTAACGATCCAAGAGCGAGTCTTATCCGACACTATTCCGAGGATATCCCGGACGTCAGTCTGAGCGAGATTATAATGGCTCTCCAGCACCTTAAAAACGGCAAGGCCCCAGGCAAGGATGGAATTACAGCGGAGCTTCTGAAAGCGGGTAGAACACCGGTACTTGAAGTCCTTCAGAAGCTCTTTAATTCCGTCCTCCATGGTGGCATTATACCGGAAGCGTGGAGCAGAAGTGCGGTGGTCTTGTTCTTCAAGAAAGGTGACAACGCTCTCTGGAAGAACTACAGACCGATTTCCCTTCTGAGCCGCGTCTACGTGCTGTTTTCGAGAGTCATTACGAATCGTCTCGCGCGCAGACTTGACGACTTCCAGCCTCCCGAACAAGCCGGTTTCCGAAAGGGCTTTAGCACCATAAATCACATATGTACCCTTCGGCAAATTGTACAGTAGTTCGAAGAGTACAATTTCCCACTATGTCTGGCGTATGTGGACTATGAGAAAGCCTTTGGTTCCGTCGAAATTTAGGCGGTGCTGCAGTCCCTTCAGCGGTTTCAAGTTGACTGTCGGTATATCGAAGTGCTGAAGTGTTTGTACAGTAGAGCTACGATGGCTCTCCGAGTACAGAACCAAAGTACGAAACCTATCCAATTGCAGCGAGTCGTAAGACAGGGTGACGTCATATCCCCGAAACTCTTCACCGCTGCATTAGAAGACGTTTTCAAGATTCTGGACTGGAAAGGATACGGTATTAACATCAATGGCGAGTACATCACTCACCTTCGATTTGCCGACGATATAGTCCTTATGGCAGAATCGCTGGAGGACCTAAGCACCATGCTCAATGACCTCAAGAGTGTACATACATACATAAACACTCACGCCTGTCACCCAGAGGGGTAGGCAGAGACTACGGACTTCCATTTGGCGCGATCCTGACACACCTCTCTCGCCTCTTTAACATCCATATATCTACGCATACACGCTCGTCGGTTAAGGGTACTCCTAATCTGGCCCATTTTTAATGTATCGCCGATTTGGTCGATAAACCTTTGTCTAGGGCGTCCCTTCCCGACCCTGCCGTTCGGTGTCTCCTAACGAATAGGTATTAGGATAAACATGGACAAAACAAAGATCATGTTTAATGTCCATGTCACACCTATGCCGGTAGTTGTTGGGAACACTAAGCTCGAAGTTGTTGACGAGTATGTTTACCTGGGACAAATAGTCCGACTAGGTAAGTCCAACTTCGACCGAGAAGTCAATCGACGGATTCAACTCGATTGGGCAGCGTTCGGTAAATTACGGCACAACTTCTCGTCAGATATACCTCAAAACCTGAAAACGAAATTGTACAACCAGTGCGTGTTGCCAGTGATGACTTACGGATCTGAGACGTGGTCCTTCACTGCTAGCCGCATGAGGAAGCTCAAGGTCGGTCAGCGAGCTATGGAGAGGGCTATGCTCGGAGTTTCTCTGCATAATAAACTTAGAAATGAGTATATCCGCAGTAAGACATGCAGGAAGTCGATGGATGCAGATGGCTCAGGACCGTGCTTTGTGGCATTCCTTGGGGGAGGCCTATGTTCAGCAGTAGACTTACGAAAGGCTGTAATGATGATGATGATGATGATCAGGTTGTTTCTTGAGTCAATTGGGTTTCGGTTAAAAACCAGTACTGTGGTATTCCACAGATTATCACTTAGCTGGGATCCCTTTTCACATCAAACAATTCTTTTTTTTTTTTGAAGATAGAATAAGTGTAATTTTGTACATGGTAGGGCCATGCTGCAGCTGTATTAATTGTATAGTTGTAGCATGAATGGGTCGGCTCGACTGGGGAAGGACCACGCTCTCACAGAATACCAGCGTAAAATAGCATCTTAACGCTGCTGTGTTTCGTATGGTGAGTGTAGAGAACTGGAGACACTTATACTGGAAAAGAGGCGTTCCATCTTAGTCCTCACGGGTGACAACGCATCTGCATTTTGATTCGCTAACGAGGATAGATGTAAATGTCTGATGACCCGATTATAATTGGCCGGTGAGGCGCATGGACATCTACATTTGTCATCGATTAAGAATCAAAATCAAATGCGTCGTCACCCGGACCCGGATTGAGGACTAAGATGGAATGCTTCGTTTCCAGTAAAAAGGGTCTCCGGTTCTTTGCACTCACGCTTCTGTGAGAGTGTGGTCCTTCTCCGGTCCTACATACTGCTGCAACCATAATATAGCTGCAGCATGGTTCTACCACATACAAACACGTGTTTCTTTCGATTTTAGGAGCAAGAGAAGCCGAAGAAGAAGCGCAAGAAGCTGACAGCGGCGGAGAAGGTGGCGAAGGCCAGAGAGGAGGAGGAGAGGGTCCGGCAGCTGGAGAGCTGCGCGGCGGACAGCGAGCGGGCGCCGCGCTCGGCCGAGCAGTTCGAGCGCGCGCTGCTGGCGCGCCCGGACGCCAGCCAGCTCTGGATCGCTTACATGGCCTTCCACCTGCAGGTCAATACTTCATTTTTTTATAGCAGAGAAGCTGAACGTGCTTGCGGCACATCTAATGGTAAGTGTCAACTGTCGCCGACGAACAACTACATCAAAGTTGTAGTTGTGGTATTTAAACAACCGGAAAAGTGCAAATAGGAGTTGAACTTCGTTCCATACAAGCTTGGGCCCGGCTTGAACAAAGTTCAAATATATCTTATTTTGAAGATTTAAACATTACAACAAAATTTGTTATTTATGACAATAAATCATATTTTTGTAGGGCCTGGGGTTTTGTTTTTATTTTGTTTTATTATTTGTAGGTTATGTTATAAAATCACTCGTTCTTGGGATAAGTTGTTTCAATAAATTGAAAAGAACACAAAAGGATGCCGTTTTTTAGTTATTATTAAATAAAATAAAATACATTTCAAACTTTTCAAAATGTCATCTAGAAAAGCAGCCGGAGGTTGTACATTGTCTGTTCTATTCCTCTCAAAACCCAAGTAACACATTATTGTCATTATGTGGGCGCAACAACCTACTGTCCTGTAAATCGAGAGAAAACCCAGGGGTCAAGTTAAATTAATTCACGAAAATAAAAACACAAAATATATCCCCAAACACAACCACAATGCCAAATTCGCACGACAAGTTTAAACTCAAAGTTACCAAGTTAAGTCTCCTTCAAAACAGGCAATGATCAACGACCATACAGCCTATTCAATCGATTTTCTAAATAAATTTCTTTTATTCAGTATTAATCTCTACATATTCGCCTCAATGTTTCAATATTATGAGTTGTTTTGATACTGAAGGCTATTTATTACAAAGGTAGCCTTTATTATCTAATATCATAGACAAAATACATAAAAATATTTAAAAACGTTTTGTTTTTGCTATGGTAAAAGCATTAGCTTTCGTTTTTCAGTTTAAATTTATTTTTATGATTGTCCCATACACTACAGAAATAAAAACCATTTAATTATGCTTATAATTTATCGTTATATTACCTACATATTTTTGTATAACTGTTACGAACGATGTCAACAACCCAATTTCATACATCTCCTTTCAACTGTCTACCTATTACGGATCATGAGATACAGCCCGCTGACAGACAGACAGACGGACAGCGGAGGTTTATTAATAGGGTCCCGTTGGTTACCCTTTGCGTACGGAACTCTAAAAATGAGTAAGCTTATTGCTCCAAGTCGTATCGCAGGTGGTAAACGATTCCACAAAAAAGTATTGCGAGGAAGAAAACTCCTATTAAATCTCAGAGTAGTAAGCCGCCAAACATACAGATGGTGTGGATGGTATTGTGAGTTTTGTCACAATGATAATTATTATTAATTTTATGAAACTGAAATGACAAACTGTCAACAGTGCACTTGATGGTAAGTGGCTACAGTCCACGGACACTTGATTCGTGCCAACTTCAAACAAAAAAAGGCTACAGATGCGTGGTCACCTTTGAAGAATGCTGCCTCCACAGTATTTATAATACTGTCGCTCTATACCCCTTTAGACCAGAACACAACAGTGCACTCACCGCTGCTATGAATTGTACCTACCTAAAGAAACTTTTTTTTAATACTCGACGAAAACAGAGGGGCGTTATATGTTTGTAGCTTGTATCTGTGTGTCTGTGTGGCTGTCTGTGGCATCATAACTCCTGAACGGAATAACCTATTTTGATTAAGTTTTTTTTTTCGTTTGAAAGATGTCTTAATCGAGAGTGTTCTTAGCTATATTTCAAGAAAATCTGTTCAGCCGTTTGAAAGATCACTAACTCTTGTTTCGGGGTGTTTTATAATTTTTTATTTAAGCTATAACTATTATAAGCCAATGCTGTCTATGCTACCCTACTTAATGGTAAGTGGTGATGCAGCCGAAGAGGATAAAGTACAGTCAATTAGCTAAACAAAACCCTATTCACTTTGGCCTTGAAAACACCCATTATATAATCGGATGGAAAGACAGATGTACACACAAGTAATTCCACTTCTTTGCTGGACGTATTACGTGTATGGTAAGTGTAGAGCATCGGAGACCCTCTGGAAACGAAGCATTCCATCTTAGTCCCCAGGGGTGAAAACGCATCTGCATTTTGAATCTGAATCGAGAATAGATGTAGATGTCTATGGACAACATAATCCACATACCATCAGGTGGACTGATTTCGTTTGTCACTCGTATGAGATATTAATTAAAGAACATTATCAGGCAACCGAGATCGAGAAGGCTCGCGCTGTGGGACGCAAAGCACTGAAGACCATTTCATTCCGCGAGGAGCAGGAGAAGCTGAATGTTTGGCTCGCCATGCTCAACATCGAGCACCGGTTCGGTACTAAGGTGAGATTTACCTGTTTAAACATGGTGAGAATTTTTAAGAAATATTTATAGTATTCGCGCAGGATATGAGTAGACACTTCATCAAGCTGCCACTACGCTTCGCATTGCGCATTAACTTCAAGTGTCTTATATTAGAAATACAGCCCTTCATACTTCCACTGCTGGACATAGGCCTTCCCCAAGCATTGGATACAGGTGGCCGAAGACCGTGCTTTCTGACATACAAAGCAAGGTCTTGGGCCTTCATCATCTACGTCAAACTGTATACTACTAACTACTTTAACTTCGTCAGATGTCAGCTACAGCGACCATCTGTCCTCTGTCATTGCATTGCAACTAAATATACTCGAGTAATAATTAAAATGAATGAATTATTGAAACGAAGATCTTCATGCGTGGGTCTAATTTTGCGGATGGGAGCTAGGTAAGAAAAAGTGTAAGATATTTCCGTCACGACCTCTTCTGACGTAGTGTAGACGGCCTTGACGTCTATAAGAAAGCGAGATGGAATAATATCCGTCTCCCTCGCACTATTTCTTATCTTGCCATGAAAGAAGTATTATTTTATTTTAAATGACGCTTCATTTTAATAGACGCTAGTAATTAATTTATGTGTATTTGTTAATCAATAATAATATACTACGAAAGGAACTTTGTTCTAACCGAGTATTCCACGACACTCACGCATGTTTTTAATTTACCACCTTGGGTTTCATTACCACTTAACACCAGGTGGGATTGTAGTCGAGCACTTGCTTATAATAAGTAAAAAACCAAGCAATTACATATAATGACAATTATTTACTTGATATTTCCTTAAGGTGGGCAGGTGGCTCAGAACTGTGCTTTTTGGCATTCCTTGGTGGAGCCGTATGTTCAGCAGTGGACTTGTAAAGGGCTGTAATGATGATAATGACGATGAAGATGATTTTCTTTATTGCCACTTTCATATACATTATATATTATTACATAAATTAATGCGAAATATCTAAGACCTCACCTTTTCACTTATGACGTCAGTATACCATTAAACCTAGTTTTCAAATGACTACTAAAGAACATCTTTATTTCTAGGAGTCACAGCAGAAAACCCTAGAGGAGGCGCTCCAGATGAACGACAAGTACCAGATCCACTCGAAGCTGTTGGACATCTACGTGGAGACTGGCAAGCCGCAGGAGTTAGTGGGGCTGGTGGAGCTCATGCTGCGCAAGTACCGGAGAGAGCTTCGCTCTTATATAGCCTGCGGGGCCGCTTGTTACCGCCTAGCGCTGCTGGACAAGGCCAGGCACGTCATGCAGAAGGGCATCTCACTTCTGGAGAAGAAAGAACGTGAGTAGCCTTCAACAACATTACTGTCACAGATCCAATATGGACCTCCTTTTAAAATAGTGATCTAGTAAAGTTTTAAGCCACGTGTATATGTATTAATTCCTTGTACTTTTTAATAGGTTGTTACTTCATTTAGTATCAGGAAACTACACTATGCAGTATAGTACGAGGTTGCAATTTGAGAAACCTTCATAACAGTTGTTGATATTAAAAATTTTACTTATACCATGAAATGGGGAAAGAGGGCGGATAAACTCCAGTCAAATGAAATTTCGTTTTATTTAAAAATTTGATTAAACAAAATCCTGGGTGATCTACAGTTGTATGGTTGATATAAAGTCCTGGTTGACCCACAGATGTAGGGTTCGTATAAAGGCCTAGTTGACCCAAAAATGTGGGGTTGATACAAAGTCCTGGTTGACCCACAGATGCGGGGTTGTTATAAAGTCCTGGTTGACTCAATGTGAGGTTAATATAAAATCCTAGTTGATCGATAGATGTAAGTGTTCGCGCCAAGCGCTAGTTTCAAGGATTGACGCGAGAGGGCGCTCGGCGCGGTGCATTCAAACCGGTTTGACTTTCGGTCGTGCGAAAAACGCACAAGGGCAGTCAGTCGTCTTTAAGCAGTGCTAACGATTGGCACGCTGTCATTTTTGTCGGGAACTCGGAATAATTAAGCGCGGACAGTAAAAATACGGTCTAGGATTTGTGGCGCGCATCCCTACTGGAGAGCTTCCCCGGGACACATTGTGTCTGACTCAGAATCTGCATAAGTGCATTCGGCAACATTAGCTAGTGCGGCCTCTGATATTCTAGAACTAACTGTTGCAACGCGAAACGGTAGCGACCTTTGATCCAGAAACTCCGTGTGCGTTTTGTGCGGTAACCTTATACCCCGCGATAGTTAGTGGCTTCTGTAAGTTAGTTAATCGCACGATAGAGTTAATTGACTGTCATCGTGACGAACGAGGAAAGTGAATGTGGACAACGCCTCGGAGGGCCCCCTCAAGTTGGAGCGGTGTCGACGCCCGGGCTGCTGCCGACGGCTAAGGTCTAGGTTCAATCACCATCAGTCACACCCAGATACACATCACATCACCTTCTTTCCCTTGCACTACACAACCACATGCGACCTGACCGACTCCGAAGGGACCAGTCGCCTTGGATATAGGTAAGTAAGCTACGTCCAAATTCCTTCCGGTCGACTGGCCGTAGTATAACGCTCCCCCATATATTTTAGTGTAATTAGAGAGATTCCACGTGGCCATATTCTGGCCCCGTCCCTCTGCTGCTCGTCGATGGGATTACTCATGGGCCCTAATCCCGTCAGCCTTGGTTGGGGCAGCTAGGGGCGTGTACAGTAAGATTGATACAAAGTCCTGGTTGATGCATAGGGGTTAATATAAAGTTTAGATTGACCTACAGATTTTATTTATAGAACAATGGTGACAAAGGAGCACACAGTCCGCTAAGATGGAATGCCTCATTTCCAGTAAAAAGGATCTCCGGTTCTCTACACTCACCACACGAATCACAATAGCATTGAGCTGCTATTTTACACTGGTATAATGTAAAGTTGAGGTTGACTCACAGAAGTAGGGTTGGTACAAAGTCGTGGTTGGTCCACAGATGTGGCGTTGCTGGTGCAGTTCGCTCAGTTGGAGCGGTCGCACGGCAGCAGCGAGCGCGCGGAGGCGCTGTTCGAGCAGGTGCTGGCCGTGTACCCGCAGAGGGTCGACGTCTGTGCCGTATACGTTGACATACTGGTCAAGAGCGGCGACGTGGAGAGAGTCAGGTGCGTGCACTAGTATCTTTATTATTGTACAATAAAAACCTTTTCATTTCATTCATTACAGCCCTTCGCAAGTCCACTGCTGAATGTAGGCCACCCCAAGGAATGACACGAAGCACGGTCCCGAGCCACCTGCATCCATCGACTTCCTGCATGTCTTACCAGGTCGTCATTCCATCTAGTGGGGGGTCGCCCTACACTTCGTCTACCGGTACGTGGCCGCCACTTGAGAACCTTTCTTCCCCATCAGTTGTCGGTTCTTGGAGATATGGCCGACCCACTGCCACTTCAACTTACTAATCCGCTATGTCGATTAATCTGATTCTACTGCGGATATTCTTATCATACAGAGAAATTCCGAGCATGGCACTCTCCATAACTCGCTGAGCGACTTTGATCTATAAAAACCTAGCCTTTTGCAATACTTTACACACTTTACTGTTGCTTAAAAGCTGTGAAATAGTGTTCGACTGTTAAATTTATTTATTTTCAGGCAAGTTATGGAGCGAATGACGTCACAGAAACTGCCAGCGCGTAAAATGAAAGTGCTTTATAAGAAGTGGATAGAGGTAGAAGAGAAAATGGGAGATCAAGAACACGTCGACAACATTCGAAAACGCGCTATGGAGTATATAGATAAGGCCACTTTTTAAAAAATAAAACAATTCTTATTAATATGGGTAATTTTTTATTAAACATCTTATTTTAATTACGTCGAATAAAAATATAAAAATAATAATTATGAATTAATACTTATTGATGGCATTTATCAAAATGGATAAAAAAACAAAGTATGAAAAATAATCCGTAACCTATATAAAGTAGGTAAATGAAGCACTTAAACACATTTGATGTATACAGTATGTAACAAACAATCCGATGATCCTTTTAGGGATGTGTAGATGTACATATAGACATGGCATTTATGACAGTAATTTTTTTTTGTGGTCGTTATGAAAGGGATTTTTGTGTTCACCATAGGTAACATACTAAATTCAATCCTGTGAAAAACTGTTATTCACATCTGAACTAACTGACACGATAAGACACGTAAAGCGGGGTCTTTGACAAACACTCTTACTCCAGGCCAATGCAGAGATAATAAACCTACATACAATTTGTCGAAAAAATATTTGTTTTTTATAGTAGAGTTTTCTGACGAAAACTTTTTTTCTATACGTTTGAATACTGATTCTAATAACGCACTTAAGGTTAATTACAGGGTTTTTATTAAATTTGGCATAAAAAGTGTACATTAAGTTTCTTTTTTAATTTATGATTATTTTATTTTTGTAACGGTGACGTCATACAATATTTTAAGGCACGTAGAAATATTTTACTATTATTATGGAGGACTATTATTATAGAGGATTCTCATCTAGTTGGACAGAATATATAAAAGGAAATATTATATAATTATTGTGGGGTATCTATATAGTTTTCTCATCTGGTTGGGATGTATAAATATAGATGAAAATGATAAATATACATAAAATATCACTAAAATAATAAATACAAAAATATATAAAAACCCAAACAGATGGAAGCCCTCGGTAAGAGAGACCTAATGGACGAGATTTAGGAATATTATTAATATTATTACTATTATTATTATTTGCTTTTTTATCTTCCGTTTTGAGGGGTAAAGAAATCTATATTCAGCGAGCTTCACACGAATTACGCACAATCCTACAGATATTTAAAATAACATTTTTATTATTCTTATTATAATCTTGTTAAATTTCTGATCGTTGTGGCTTTTTAGTATTTAAATTCATATATAAATAACTTAAATTAAAAATTTTAAAAACCATTGAAACAATATCTTCAAACGGCTGAACAAAGACGTATTAAAAAAGATAGGTTACACGCTAACATTATTGTATTTTAAAGTGGCGCAGGTAGTACTATATCTACGTACAGTTATTTATTATGACACATTGCGCTAACAAAAAGAGACAAATCATACGGCATACCTATCGTTAGAAAAAGATGAATATACATCATCAGTTGCGTATTGATTGCTGCTGAGCGCTCATTGGCGCGAGCGCGTGACATACCGATGTGGAAATGAACATACAAGCTAGCGTCAAAGTTTACACTAGCGGTTAGTGTTGAAATAATAAAACCAATTATGAACAAAACATCCATATTCAAAATATTAATGAGACGTTTTTCTTGTCTTTAATAGTTGCTGTGTAATTTGTGCACCACCTAAAACACAGGAAGGCATTTTTACCACGAATAACTAGAAGATTTACGCGCTGTAGCGAAGGTATAGCCGCGACGCAAGAGCGTGCACGACTGAATGCGAGTCGGGCAATTACCTGACTTTCGTATTGCCATTTAAGAGCGTGTATGACATATCTATACTTTAAAAACATCTTAGCAGCTGAACAGATTTTTTTGAAACATGTCTAAGAACATTCTCGATTAAGACACCTTTCAAACGAAAAAACTAAATCAAAATCGGTTCATCCGTTCAGGAGCTATGTTGCCACAGATGAACACAAACGTATACTAAACACACCTCTGTTTTCGTGGCTGGTTAAAAATATTATGATACGGGGGATAACTGTTAATCAGTGAACACATTTAGATATCGGGTCACATAAAACAAACAAAAAAAACTGCGTTGATATTACTGCAGTGTGTACATCTTACATACCTAACCATACCTAACTTCAGAAAAGTTACCTTACCAGAGCTAAATAATCGAGGTCGAGTCGACACTGAATTCTATGTAGGAGACAAGGCGCAGTTGAGGTGTGATTGCATTTAAACACAACTGTTCCGTGGTTGCACTACGCACCTCTCAGGGCATATTTGTGCTGTTTATTGCGATATATTTAAAACACTGACCCGTTATCTACTTTTATAATGTTGATAGAAGTTAAACCATAATGTTATAACTTATAATTATATTTTATGTTTTGATTCTTTCGTTTGGTTACTTATTCTTTGTTAGTTATTAATCAAATTACAAAAAAAAATATTTGTTGTCTTAAAGCAAATATTTAAACATAAAAGTTTTATTAGACCTTAAAGAGTTATCTTTCTTAATATTATCACATTTTGGCATCGGTGGGGGTGGGGGTGGTTGAGTTAGAGCAATGTCATCAGTATCGATGTTCGCTTTTGGTACTGCACTGTCATTTTGAGTAATCATATTTGGCGATACAAAGTTTGGAGTATAGTTTCCATATATTGATATTGGTGGGCAAATAACATAACCTAATTTAGAGTAGAAGTCTTCCTGGCCTTTCGTGGATAAATGTACCATTTCCAAACGTAACATTTTCTTACAATATTCCTCGACTTTGTTCATGAGAAATGTACCCAGCTTCTTTCCGCGCATTGTTTTAGTTATCACAACAGTTTCTACAAAACAACTTCTTGGCAAACTCGGAATCCGAGTTAACTTGCAGTGCCCTAATAACATATCTCTATCATTAACAAGTATCAAACTCGTGGGTAAAAAATCGCATGATGCCTGCAGTGACATCATCCTTGCAGTTTCGCTGCGAGGCCATTCTTCATTGATCATTTCGCAGCACTGTTTTAAATATTCTGGATGTTTGTGTAAAGGCAGCACCCTAAGAAGGCTAAAATCCATTATAGAATCCTGAAATAAAATTGCAGATGAACATTATTATGTAACGTGTTACCAAAACGTAATTTTTTTTTTTTGCAATTCTGTGTTTATCTGCAGCATTAATAGGTAATCTGGTTCAACGTCAATGTAGCAGTTTGACCTTGGACAAAGGTTTCTAAAGGTTCTAAGGGAACGTAACGAACAACGGATATTTGCTCTTATATTTAAAGTCATTAAACACTGTACCCAGCGACTTCGCTCGTAAGTACTTTGCTTTTAATTTTTTTGCGCGGAACCCTAAACTTTTTTAAATGAAAGAAGCCTAAGTTACTCCTTATAACATTAGCTATCTGCCAGTGAAAGTCACGTCAAAATCGGTCCAGCCGTTTCAGAGATTAGCCGGAACAAACAGACAGACAGACAGGACAAGACAAACAGACAAAAATTTTAAAAATAGTGAGTTTGTTATAAGTACCGTATATACTTTCATATGCATTTAGTAAAAAGCTGTTATTTTGACATTACAAACAGACAATTTTATTTATTTGTATAGATTAGAAGTTTTCAATACGCAAAAGTAATGTGATTTTGTGTGTTAAATGTATACTCATGTGGTGAATCATTAGTGGAAACCGTTGTAACAGGAACACCGATATAAAGATCATATCATTGGTACCGTAATGGCACCTTGAGATACCATCATCATCTAATGTCTACTACATAAAGCAACACGGGCCACCGGCGGACCGGAGGGGAGTATCCATAGCGTTTTTCCCCGATACAGAACTGTCTGCCATTTTCCGGGGGGAAATCTGCGCACACAAAAAATCGTCTCTCCCTACATAACTCACACATAACAATTAACTAATACAATGAACCCATAAACTAATAATTACACACACACATCGGTCGGTGACAGCGACAACTTGGACACAGACTGATCGATCAGTCACTCGCTCGATGTCAATATTGTATGAGCCCTCATACAATATTGACATCGAGCGAGCGAGCGAGTGACTGAGCGGCCTGTGATAGTAAGCGAGTCCGAAACAACACGACCGTTATTATTGTAATTTTTAAGATTAAGTTGTTGTCGAGAAAATTAAAAAAGAGAGTGTATAAAGAAAGAAGTTAGCTCTCTGCGAGAAAGCGTCTATCGGCCTTGTACAGTAACTGCGTTGGACGACTTTGAGAAAAGTGTAATTAAGCAAATAGTGTCATCGTTTTATCGCGACGGTGAATATCCATCCACGGCTAAAATTTTGAGTACTGCAAAAGAAAGAATGAACGGATTCCAGTGTTCTATTTCTTCTATGCGTAAAATACTCATAGAACTTGGGTATAAGTACACACAAGCTCTAGATGGTCGTAAACAATTGATGGAAAGGACTGACATCGTTTGTGCACGGCTACAATTCCTGAGAAAACTCAAGACCCTGATCATCTGGCAGATGATCATTTTGATGTAGAATTTTAATGTAAATAGTTTTAGATTTAATTTTAGATATAAGTTATTATATTTATTTTTAATATAACTTGTTACATTCCAAATATTTGTACTTATAGTTTTTTAATACATAGATAAATAATAATTTATTTTAAATCATTATTATTCTTATTTAAATAAATACGTTGTTTTATTTTTATTTTTTCACTAACCCACATAATGACAAAACTAAATTTATTATTTTAATTTATTTTTTTATTTTCTTCTTAAAAAAACGTTACCCCCACACTAGGATTTTCTCCTGTATCGTGGAGGCAGTTTACAAACACAAATTTCACAAGGACAAACATCCAGACCCGGAACAATTATTTGTAGGCCATACAAATACTTGTTCCGTGCGGGGTTCGAACCCGCGTCCCCCAGCGCAGCAACTCATTGCAAAGGCACTGCGCCACGGAGCCGTCAAATACACTATCGATAACGCTGATCGACCAACAATACTGCGCCTCACTATGCTCACCCTTAAGGCCCGTGAGTGGGAGAGAGAGCGAAATACTCCGATGATTTATGACCCAAACTGCACGGACAGAATAGTTCTAGTATAATGTGTTTAAAAATAATATATATGAAAGGAAACGCTATCTTTTTTGTAAATATAACGTAGCAAATTTCCTTTTCCAGCAAAAAAAAAACAAACTAAGTAAATCGGCATTTTGGTAGGACGTCGATTCAGCCGCGCAACTAGATTGTAGATTTAGTCTAGTGGGCAGTGCGGCAGAAAATACTTTTATTGTGCGCATAGGACCGCCTTGACTTATACTTTGACAGAGTACAAGTACAAAGACACTGATCCGCCGTTGGCCCGTGGTGCTCTATGATCTGCTGCGTTAAACTGTCGTCAAAATGTCGGCTGTATGGGCATAGACCCCTTTGTCTTTTAATAAAAAATACAAATGAACGTCAGTTATGCGGTGCTGTGCTGTCATTATCATCTGTCACTTAAAGAGTTTTGTTTTCGCGGGAACTTGACCGGCGGCGGCTTGCTGCTCCTGTATTATAGTTCAAATAATAGTTTGAAGTGGATTTTGATATGTAAAAGTAGTGCGATTTTATGTATTAACTGTCTACGCATGTGAACTATTAGTGGAAACGGTGAAACAAGTGCTCTGATGGTGATGGATTCTCAAGATAAGCTGTTTGTTTGCATCTGCCTGCTGGGTCAATTTGCCGTCAAAATCTCCCAAGGGCTGCACAATGAGACGCATCAACATATTGTAAAGCAGTGAACTATGAAGGATAATTATACACAAAGACAAGGCTGTATGGCGTAGTTCCTTTGCCTGCTCTCTCGAGCGGATAAATAAAAACAACAACAACAACATCTGTGATCTGTCACTTAAATAATGTCAAGCTCAGTTCAATAAATCAAAACTTCTAATAAATGCATTAAGATTCAATAATTATAAATAAATAATGTTACTGTAATCGTTCAGACACTTACCAAACAAATGGCTTAAGGTCCTACTATTGTATGAGTGTCCAAATTACGTAAGTGCATTTTTAAACCTTTAAATTAAAACCACAAGCCTTCTCCCATGATGGTACATGCAAACTAACCTATTTTTAGCTGTCATGTAAATGTTGCGCGTTTGCTTCCATATTTCTGTTGGTTTTGTAGGATATTTGGGACATTTTTAAAGATAGTAATAAATTGAGAAATATTATTTTAAAATAAACGTTAACATGATTGTATACCGAAAATATCTGATTATTAGTCGTATAAATATAGTATCATAACAAGTTAAGATTCAATACTTTACCTCACACTAATTAAGAAAGATAGACAGCACCACAACACCAACACCACATTCTCAACTTCTTAAAATACACTCAAGCACACATCTTTCTTCTTTCTTTAACAGTCTGTATAGTTCACTGCTGGATATACACATACATTGGTTGCCTAACAATTTTAAATAAATATACTTGTGTTCTTGATATAAATTGTCCATGGTTATAGCTTGGTTTCAGTGTCAATTGAAATGTACACAGCACTCCATCTTATTTATTCTTTGTTTGCTTAATTTTTTAGTTATTTTTCAACTGTTGTATATGTTATGTTTTGAATTTCATGATTTCTGATTGATGATCCTTTTAGGATACAATTTCTAAGCAATGGAAGATGATGAAGATGTCCCAACTCTCTCTGCCGAAACCTTTGCAGCTCTGCAAGAATTTTATGCAGAACAACAGAAAAGACAAGAAATTCTTAGTAAATTGGAAGCTGATAATAAATTAAATGAAAACATAATATTTGAAGAAAATTGGGTACATTTGTTCTTGCTAAAATGTTACTTAATGTAACATCAATCTACTGTTGAATTTGATAATTTAAAATTATATAAAGATATTAAATTAAGTAATAAAACATATATAACTAAAGCTATTGCAGCTCAGGTGCTACAGCACTTTCTAAATCTTATAGTACATGAGCAAACTGAATTCTTGTGAGAAAACTTTTTACGTTGTGGAGCCATGCTGCAGCTATATTAGTAGTATAGTTGTAGAACGAATGGGTCGGCTCGACTGGGGAAGGACCACGGTCTCACAGAATACCAGCGTAAAATAGCAGCTTAACGCTGCTGTTTCGTATGGTGAGTGTAGAGAACCGGAGACCCTTTTTACTGGAAAAGAGGCATTCCATCTTATAGTCCTCAAGGGTGACAACGCATCTGCATTTTGATTTCCAAATGAGGATAGATGTAGATGTCTATGGGCCACAGCAACCACTTACCATCAGGTGGACTGAGTGCTCGTTTGTCACCCTATCCTATAAAAAAAAAACCGAATGAAACTTTGGTCTGGTTTCCCACATAATCCATGAAGTGGCTCATGTCAAAAATATTTTGGGTTGTAAATTCCATCAACACTTGCATTTCTGATTACCCGCTCCATAATATTCATAGAAATTAAAGATCTATGCCCAGCTTATAGTTCTTATAAATGAGAGTATGTTATACTCAGTGTGAATGTCAATACAAGTTTTTTGTGGTTTAGCATGTGGCTCAATTAGAATATTGTCACTTCTGAGGAATGAGACAAAATACCCCAGAGTCAATATTTGCCATCCAGTCACTTACTATGAAACACAGCAATATTTCAGCAGCTATTATCTATACAAATAAATAAAATAAAAGGGTCTGTTTGTAATGTACTCATAAAAAAACTACAATTTTAAAAAATTTTGTCTGACTCTCTGTCTGTTTGTTCCGGCCAATCTCCCAAACGGCTGGACCGATTTTGACGGGACCTTCACTAGCATATAGCTGATGTCATAAGGAATAACTATGCTAATTTAGAAAAAGAATTAGGGTTCAGCTCAAACATTAAAACCCTAAATAACATGCAGACGAAGTTGCAGGGAACAGCTAGTACAAGTATAAAATGGACGTGCTATGATGGAGCATACTGTTACAGTAAAACATAGTGTCTAGGAAAGGACAATTAATTTATTAATTTATTTATATTGTTTGCATAATCTGTGTTACAGTTGTATAACACATTAACTTTCTTACTGTTAAATGTTTATTTATTTTATTACATAGTTATTTTTTTTCCTATATTTATTTTTGTGCGTACAGTAAATGGTAATTAAATTAAAAAGCACCCCAAAATAAATTTCTATAATTTCAGCAATTAAGTCAGTTCTGGTATGATGAGGCGACTGTGCAAACTCTAGTCAGAAGTGTAGACAAAATATTACCTGATGGTGGTAAAGTTGCACTCATATCATGTCCAACACTCTTTGTTCCTGTTAAAAGACAGATCGGAGAAAGGGCAAAAGGTTGGTATAACATTATCTGTTAATATGTGATCAACTGTGTATTGGCATTATACAGTTGAGTATATAGTAACTTTCGTAGGTTTAAAAAAATTACATTTGATTAATGATTTATTTTTTCTTTATCATCTGATGGTAAGTGATTACCATCACCCATGAACATGTGCATTACCCGAGAAATTGCAGGTGCATTGTTTACCTTTGAGAAAGGATTAGGCTCTTTTCTTGAAAATCCCTAAGTTGTATCAGTCCAAAAAACTGCAGGCGAAAAATGAAAAAAAAATTGTAAAACACGTGGTAGTGGTCCGAACATGTTTTAATTTAACAGGATTAATGTGAGCAATACCTCAGAGAACTCTCAGTATTATATGCGATAGAAGATGCACAGAATCGCAACGCCTCTTCACAAGGCCAGTGAATCAAGCTGATGGTACGGATTTTGGTTGTTGACAATTCAAGCTGCTCTGGAAGGAAAAGAGATAAGAACAGTAATCCAAATCAGGCTAAACCTGGGCATTTTAAAATTGCAAGTAGTGTACCGAATACTGTCTCAATCTACTAAGCACACCAAGCTTTTTAGAAGTCAGTCCTCTCCAAATGCCAGTGGAGCTGTACGTCACTCAATGTGTCGACGCCAACTATTCCAATGCTGTCTCTGTGAGGCAACAAGGGAGTACCCAGAAATTAAGGAGGATCAGATAAAAGGGATCTTTTTAGCGCTAAATGTGCAAAATTGTGCCTTCTGAGGGTTAAACTGGACTGGGTGTAGTTGCCCCCAGCGCGAGACTTTGTTTTACAAAGATTCAACTTCAGACAGTTGGTTCTGGCACTCAACGACGTATTATTGATAAATATTAGTACGGCCGGTGTATAACGAAAAGTGTACGCAACTACGACCTTCATGCCCGATTTGCAGAAAAACTGGTGATCCAATTGCTTAATTTGTCGGAAAAACTCATAGGAGCATAGCTTTGAAAGACGCTTTTTGTGCCAAACATGATCAAAGGCCCATGCTATGTCCAAACTAATCGCCATAGCCTCCCCCCTGATTACTTCTGGCGGTCGGTATCAGGTAGACAAGATTACTAGCTGAGCCACCTGGATAAAAACCATTACTAGTCTCTAATTTCGTCGAAGGTTAGCTCATGAGCTTGCAGTTCATAATGGGCTTGCACTATTTTGGAGCAAAAAGTGGAAGTGTGATGGACCTGTAGTTGGATGGGTCTGACTGGTCATGTTTTTAGGGTTGGGTCCACCAGGGCTCTTCAATGAGCTTGAAACGACGGCTATTGAGTTGGAGTACCGGAAAACCCAGCACACGTCTTTATCACAAGTGCATTTTTACTCAACCTGCACAAAACTATTTATTTCATACAAAAAAATTATTACATTTTCAACTTTGATATAACATCATTTAATTTTTCTTCGCAGTAACCCTTTTGGAGTTTGACAGAAGATTTGAAGTACATGCACCAGATTTTGTCTACTACGATTACAACTTTCCAGAAAAACTACCCGCAGGCTTAGAGAAAACATATGACTTGGTTGTGGCTGATCCACCATTTCTGTCAGATGAATGCATTTCTAAGACGGCGCAGACAATAAAATTATTGGCTAAGGAGAAAATTATAGTATGCACTGGTGCTATTATGAGAAATCAAGTAGAAAAACTATTAGATTTGAAACTTTGTCAGTTTCAACCTCGCCATAGAAACAACTTAGCAAACGAATTTTCTTGCTATGCAAATTTTGATTTTGATACAGTTCTTCAATGACAGTATATTTTTTCAAATGTGTATTTGTAAATAAAACAACAGAATAGCAAAACATTCCATTTTTATTGTTCTCGTCTTGTTAACAAAACTATTTCTCAAATTATGCTGGTTAACATTTGATATAGTTTATTTCCACTTAAATTCATTCTACTTTTAAAAATATCCATTCTCTCAACAAGTCTTGAAAATATGTTGTCTCACTCTCAAACGTAAATTTAATGTAGTATCTGCAAAAAATACGCTGAATATGTTCAACGACAAACTTTTACGTAAATATTATATGTTGATACAATTTTGAAATTATAATTCATACTAAAACCTTCGGGATTAGGCAATATGTGAAGTATGTAAATAAAAATTTCTAAACAATAAGCAATTAGTTTTTATGAGAGTAAGCTTCCATTATTATAGCTAGTATAAAAATTCGTAATGGGAATTTTATATACGTGGATATAAATATTTCTTAAGGTAATGATATATTTGACATCATAGCAATCCACAAGGCCACACAATAACATGACACAGTTTATATTTATTTTAGATAACAAGCCTCCAGAAATGGAGCATACTTGTTCTGCAAGGGTTACATTGAAATTTTAATACACAATTAATCGCCAAATCTTTAAGAAAACTAAAAGTAAATTTTAGGCAAATTTAATGTTAATAAATTAATTTTGATAAATGTTTGAGATGACTGACACATATATTTTAAATATCAACCGCCATACATATTTGAAATTTTATTTTAAATACAAAAAAAACCTTATTTTGCTAACCATACAATGACATGAAATAGCTCTTGAAGTAATTAAATTATAACTAGCTTATAGAATTATATTCTCTTAGAAAGGCCTTTACGATATATTATATTATGATTGAACAATATATGAATTGCAATAAAATCTATTAATTCATTATAATAAATAACGCCGACATCGCTATTACGATTGTATTACATTTGCTTAAAGCTATTAAATAATTTGGTGATTAATTACATTTTGTGTTTAACCAACAATGCTTGACAAAACATAAATTAAAGTAAAAAAAAAATAAGTTTACAATATAGTGACAGTGTTTTTTCAAACATAAGGAATATTCACCATGATAATATTTAAAAAGTGTAGGCAATTGTTTTTTCGCGGCTCGAAAATGATGAAGTTTGACGCGCAACTATAGGAAAATTAGTATGTCTTTGACTCAAAGTAGTGTTACATTTAGTCTATTTGTATCAGAAAGTGGGTGATGTATTTTGAGAATATGTATGTAAGTATGTCTATTCCTTTGACATGCTCTGTAGCCTAACCGGTTTGATGGATTTTAATTTGAGGTCTCGTTAAATTCGTCTTCTGGGTGTGACAAAGACTAGTTTTTTTTTCTTATTTTCATTTTTTTTAATTACTGTTTTAAACGGGCTTGGTCAGTATATTTCCCACATAGACATTATCTGTGTGTCACTCATGACTTATACAATCATTTCATTACGTGATGTATCTACACTTTTTAAATATTACTGATTACAATAGTAAAACAAATGTTACATATTAAGGAAATAGAATGGTAGAATTCATGCATCAATTTTAGTTTGTATTTAAAAAAAGAAGTTAAATTATAAAATGTGAATCTTATAAAACGAAGAACTCAGTGCATATTATCTCAAATTTGTACTAAAATAAAACTAATACCTACCATATAATATTTCACTAAAATCCATAGGCCTACTTAATACAAAAAAATAATACAAACCATTAAAGTATATTTAAAAATGCTCACATATACATATATTTGTAATATTTGTCCAGCCCTTAAGGCTCTGTTATATCTACATTGAACGCAAATTATTATGACAAAATATATTATCTATTAGGTTTACATCGAGCCCAAAATTGTAATCACATGAGAATAGTTAAAATGGAATTAATTTCTTATAATTGTTCTTATCAATATACCACAAGTAGAAATTACAGCCCTGTAATGAAATTGAAACACCTATCTATCACACACCAATACTATCTACAAGGCAACTTCATCTACAATAACATAGCATTGAACTCAAAACCAAGATGGATGCAAATATGAATTAATATTAATAATATCAGTTCATCAATGTTTATAATATTTGTTTCAATTATCTATTAAAAATATAAACCTTTTTTAATGCTTTTGTATATTTATTTTTGTTTATTAGATAAACCTTTTGCAATCGACTAAATAATTTGACAATAGTTTTAAATGAACATACAGAAATAAACATTTTTCTCACTTAACGGGGTAACGCAATAAAGGCAAAGACTTCAGTGTACACTACTATACCGGCTGCTGTGATCTTAACAAATTGCGCACTAAGTTACGGTCAATTATCTGTAACTCATTTAGTATCTACGAGCGGTCGAGAAGACTAGTTCTTTGTTTGTAGTTTTCAACAATCTAACACAGATTTTGTTTAGTGTGACTAAAGAAACGTGATTATTTATGTGTGCAAGTGTTCACGTGATTTGATGATTATTTCTGATACTGTCGTAAATGACACTTGAACACACACACACACACGTGTGTGTGTTTTCTGTGTTCTGTGACAGTGTTAGTTCTGAATTGCCGGTCCAGTAGTATTATACATTGAAGTCTGAATAAAGGAATTAAATTGATTGTAAATCTACACTTTATGAATAATGGCTGATATTTTCAATCCACATGAAATTTATTCATACGTTAAAAAAAATTCAATTGTTTCACTTTTATATTCAGTCAGGTCTTAATTTATTCGACGAATACTTTTATCTGATATTGAAAAATCAGCCGTATGACATGTAATCATTAGCCTTAACAATTAGTTAAATATTAAAAAGTGATAGGGTTGAAAAAATAGGGTTTTCAGTAAACTTTACCGATCAGGCCATTTATTTCATCACTTAGTATAATCTACATAAAAAATTTTAAATTGCTAAGTACTGAATATACTGATCAGTATTTCATATTGCTTAAAAATAACCTATTTTAAATATTGAATGCTTAATATCACTTAAATTGCATATTTGTATTAAAAAAAATTAACAACAAATTAATGTTGCTTTATCAACGAAAACCACTCGCACATGAGTTAAAAAAAAAACAATGTGCTAAATTAAGCGGCAAATGCATGAAAATATGGCGTTACTTTTTGTATCCATTTCTTAATATATAAAATATATATTGCTATCATATAAATTTGCCACATTTGTATTTAATTGTTTACCATAATATAATGCGGCCTATAATTTGCATTTAGCCCGGCTTTGAACCAAAAGTTATCACTATCTTAATCTACGGTCCCTTCAACATTCGAAGAGATGATATCAAAGAGCTTACGACGTGGAAAAATACACTACATTCTTTGGGTGCTTTCTACATATAAAATATACTGTTCTTATAACATATATCAACGCACAGTCAGACAAATTTTATAACAACATTACTTATTTACGCATTAAAAGTAGTAATCGTGCAGTGTATTGAGATATCATCGTAACCTTATTGAAACTTTTCCCAAAGGTTCGCGGAAAAAGGAATAAGTGGAGAACACAAGTTTGACAAACTATCAAACACCGAATCTCTCTTAATACTTTGTCAAGTATAGAGGATTGCCTAAAAATTCAAGTGTATTATTACAAAATGTATGTCTAACTGTGCTAAGACTGACAAAGTACACGCAAACACTGAGCATCGAGAAGCAACTTAGTTATGTACTATGCGACATCACACAGGACCTGCTATCGGTATGCGAAAGTGTATTCAATTGACAATAGCTAAGGAAGACTATTCGTCCATAGCATCGACGGAGAAAATTTATTGTCTATAATAACCATTTTTACGAACAATTCGTACATACAGTTAATCTACAAATGATTTTTTTAATGGGGTTTAGTTTAAAGTATTAATTAGTACCTTATCAACTTTAATGCTACAGAATCTAATTAATATCAAAAAAATCATGCAAAATATACAGATATTTGCTTTTAGTAGAAAAGCATACGAGCATTTATTTACATATCCGATTTAAATATATGTATAATATTAAACCGTGATACGAAATTTTATAATATGAAATTGGAAACTTGGGGTCGATATGAGGTACACTAAAAAAAAAAAAACAGTCCAATTAACGATATTCCCCACTCGTAGTGGATGGAAGCCAAATAAATGTCTCAACATTGATTTGCCAACTGATCAACTTTTTGGCGTATTCTACTGCTCATGTTAAAATTTAATTAATCTTATTTCAGTTAATTTTCTTCATTCTTTTGCAAATTATTAAAAACAAAACCAGAAAGGAACTATTTAACATTGAATTTTCAATGTATATTATTCCTTATTCGTAAAGAAATAATGAATATTTATTTTACTTCAAAACAAATATGTGTTCTAATTCTTATTTTGAATCCCAAATAATATGATTTGTTGTGCAATCTTAGTTGTGCAAAATTTGCTGCATTTTAAAGTTAAGAGAATAAGTTATCTGTACCATTCTCTACTAATGTCCTCTTATTCATTCTCGTTGTCAATAATGGTAAAATAATCTAATTTCTTCTAACATATAGACCTTTACACATTGAGTAAATTGGCAGTTTTTATTATATGACAATTATATGGAGAAAAAAAATAGCAAGTTAAAATATTTGTAATCTTAAAATTACAGAATTTCATTTCTGGTATTATTTTCATTTATATATAATAATATTTAAATAAGCAATATTTAATTAGTTAATAAATATTTTATTCAATATGTAGTATTCATGAAAATATAACAAATAATTATGTTAATTAAATACATCTGTATTTAAATTAACTGATTAAAAATGCTTTTCAGATAGTTATAAACGGTCTTGCATTAGGCTATTAAACAAAAATTCATATGATTATTAATAATCAAACTCTGTAGATATTTCGTGTTACTAGTTGAATGGAAACGGATGTTCTACTATGATCAATATTACTGCCATTTAAAAATCGACCTTGAAACTATATTC